AAGACATTTTCTTAAAGCTTTAGTTTTCTGCTTTGTTTTTAAGTAGGTTCTACGCCCAACATGGGGCTTGAACTCCCAACCCTGAGATGCTTAACCAACCTAGGCACTCAGGCACCCCGAAATCTTCAGTTTTTAAGTTGATATTTTTCAAGCTGGAGGAGTTAATCATATATTAAAGACCTGAGTTTGCTTCCTTTCCTAAAAGTCAATATGTTCTTTGAGCTTGAGCACCACTTTTTCCATACATTCTATCCCCAACTATGATCTAATATATTTTATTTATGTATCTTTCAGTTTTGGTTTAATATATTTTAGAAAAATTTTAATAAGTTTTGAGGCACCAAAAGTTTAATAATTTATGAAACCAAATGTTCCATTTTGTGATCATTCAGGCTAATGGAAACTTATATTCAATGTTTACAACCAGAAAACATGTTTTGCCTTGGTTTTTGGCAGGTTCAGAATCATGTGCTCAGGATTCTATCCAAGTTCACAGGATGACTTGGTGGAGTACCATCACATCATGTCAGAACTGGCATGATCCAGACACCTCATATAAAGGGACCATTATGACTAGAGATATTTGAGCTTTCTCTAAGGCATTGGTTCTCTCTCTCTCTCTCTCTTTTTAAGATTTTATTTATTTATTAGAGACACAGAGAATGAGAGAGAGAGAGACAGAGACACAGGCAGAGGGAGAAGCAGGCTCCATGCAGGGAGCCCGACGCGGGTCTCGATCCCAGGTCTCCAGGATCATACCCCGGGCTGAAGGCGGCACTAAACCGCTAAGCCACCGGGGCTGCCCGGTTCTCTCTCTTTTTTAAAGATTGATTTATTTATTCATGTGAGACAGAGAAAGAGGCAGAGACATAGGTAGGCTCCCCACGGGGAGCCCAACGTGGGACTCAATCCCAGGACCCAGGATCTGGACCTGAGCTGAAGGCAGACTCTCAACCATTGAGCCGTCCAGGCGCCCCTATGGCAGTGGTTCTCAATGGAGGTGGTACTGCCCTCTAGGGGGACTTCTGGAAATCTCTGGAACATTTTTGATTGTCAAAATGATGGGATAGAGAAAAGAGAAAAAAAACAGGTAACCATCATTTGTCAGAGGCAAGGGATACAAAGTATTCCTCAGTACTGGAGACAGTTGTACAAATTCAGAGAATCATCTCATGTCTCATGCTACTTCTGAATATCTCACTGAATTGCTTTTAATTATCTGACCCTCAAACCTAATTCCATCTTTTTTTCCACAGGGAAGGAAGAAGTGATTTATATATATATTCAATTTCCAGGTATGCAACCACCAAGTATATACAGGGAAAATTGCACTTTGTTTTGTTTAGAACTTTATCAAGAGTAGCTCCTCATTTAGTAAAATCACATCCAAAACAACAGTGTCTTCTGTAATATCTAAGTAGCTAACACTGAATCAGCCTACAGTTGAACCTGTCCCAATTAAGGTGATTTTTTAAAAATTTTTATTTATTTATGATAGAGAGAGAGAGAGAGAGAGAGAGAGAGAGGCAGAGACACAGGCAGAGGGAGAAGCAGGCTCCATGCGCCGGGAGCCCGACGTGGGACTTGATCCCGGGTCCCCAGGATCGCGCCCTGGGCCAAAGGCAGGCGCTAAACCGCTGCGCCACCCAGGGATCCCCCAATTAAGGTGATTTTATATTGAGGTGCATGCTCTGACCTCTGCATTATACTTTCTAGGACCATTGTGAATAAGTACTCACAAAATATAAATTATTCTTATTTCTCCTTATGGTTACAACTAGTTGGGCATTAAGTTGTTTTTAGTGAAGTATAGTTGACACACAAGGCCACACCAGTTTCAGGTGTACAAAATAGTGATTTGACAACTTTATACATTATGGTATGCTCATATGTGTAGCTACCATATGCCACCATATGCTATTACAGTATCACTGCCTATGCTGTACTTTTCATTCACATGATTCATTTCCTAACTGGAAGCCTGTACCCCCAACTCCTTCATCCATTTACCCATCCCCCTATGTCCCTCCCTTCTGGCAACCAACAGTTTAGTTTGTTCTCTGTATTTATGAGTCTGTTTCTGCTTTTGTTTTTTAGATTCCACATATAAGTGAAATGATATGGTAATTGTCTTTCTCTGACAATTATTTTGTTTAACATGTAGTAGCCTCTAGGCCCATCCATGTTGTTGCAAACATCATGCTGGTTTTTTTAAAAATATTTTTATCTATAGAGTGCATGAACTGTGAATTTATTTTTTTTTTTAATTTTTTTAAAAAGATTTTATTTATTTATTCATGAGAGGCACACACACACACACACAGAGAGAGAGAGAGAGAGAGAGAGAGAGAGAAAGAGAGAGAAAGAGAGGCAGAGGGAGAAACAGGCTCCATTCAAGGAGACTGACATAGGACTTGATCCCAGGTCTCCAAGATCATGCCCTGGGCTGAAGGTGGCGCTAAACCGCTGAGCCACCCGGGATGCCCATGAACTGTGAATTTCATCGTGGATTAGGAAAAGGAGCTGTGGGTGTGATATCACTCAGAAACAGCACTCTGAAATCACATAGTGAACCAAGAGCAGAAAACTGTGGCAGAGAATCTATGACAGCAGGAATTGTGGTCAAGAGAATTTTAACTTAAGGAAGGAATGAGACTGGGGCAGCCGGGATGGTCCAGCGGTTTAGCTCCTGCCTTCCGCCCAAGGCATGATTCTGGAGACCCGGATCGAGTCCCGTGTTAGGCTCCCTGTGGGGAGCCTGCTTATCCCTCTGCCTATGTCTCTGCCTCTCTCTCTGTGTGTCTCTCATGAATAAATAAACAAAAGCTTTAAAAAAAAAAAAAGAGTGAGACTGATCTGAGTTCAAGTATAGGCACAATATTTTACTATTTGGTTATTTTGGGTAGGCTACTCTTCTGGCTTTCTTTTCTTCAATGGTAAAAATGGGTTCAGGATTATCTAACTTGGTGTGATTTTGAGGATAAATGAGAACAATTTATTAATGTCAACAAATAAATCTAAATTTCTAAGCTCTCTTCACATTGCATCCTTCTAAGGGGCACTGACTTCAAGTTATCTCCAGGAGGTTAGTTCTCATCAGTTCTGGAACTGATGCCACAGGAAGTGGATGCTGTGGTGTAATGCAAAGAACTCCAGACTTGGGAACCAGAAAATCTGGCCTCAAGTTCTGAATGTCTTCATGTGTGACCATGGAACCTCTTAAGCCTAAGTTTCTATGAAATGGGACAGCACCATTTATCTCACAAGAGTTGCTCTGAATTTTAATGAGGGGTGCCTGGGTGACTCAGGCCATTAAGTGTCTGCCTTCAGCTCGGGTCATGATCCCAGGGTCCTAGGATCTAGGCTGGTGATGGGTTCCGTGCTCAATGGGGAGTCTGCTTCTCACTCTCCCTCTCTCCCTGCTCATGCTCTCTCTCTCAAAAAAACAAAACAAAACAAAAACCTTAATAAGTAAATAAACAAGTAAGTTAATGAATGTAAAAGCTAAGTTTAGTGGCTAGCATAGAATAAGTGCTTAATAAATGTTGGTTTATTATTATTATCTCAACTTAATCGGGAAGCACAACTGAAAAGGATAAAGCACTGCTTCCCAAACATCATTCACAATCCATGATTCCATCACGGTTATGATTTTTGTTTTATTCACTAGCACTTGTACTATTAAAAACTTAGTATTCTTTACACATCAACTTTTTCTGCTTATAGAAATTTTAAAGTAAATCTTTGAGTTGCCAGCCAATGGAAAACCAGCTGCCACAAACAGACACTTAAACACAACAAAAATAAAATATAATTTTAGCAAGATACTGTTTCCTGTGGAAAGTTCTGAGCCTAAGGCTTGCTCTTTCTTAAAATGGGAGATTAAGTGATAGTAACGTATCAAAGACATAGCGACCTATACCTGAGATGATCTCTGAAAATAATCACAACGATGGACTGGAAAATGTTTTTTTTAGATTTTAATATGAAGGGGGCACACATCTGGATACCTAAAATCATCTCAAATTACCTCTCTCAACAGCTAAATCCTGTAATGAAGCACATGAGGAATAGCTTGCCTCCACTCCTGAAGGAGAAATGATAATTACATCTGCACAGCACTTGGTTACTTAGGATCTCAGCCGACTACCACAGTAGTTCAGTACAACGAGTAGTGTAAACACACCCACCTTATATACAGTTCACAGATAAAAGGGTTGGAGACTGGCCTAACAAATTTTTTTGAGCACTTAATACGTCCCAAGCCCTGTGCTAAAGGCTCTGTAGGCTTCATTTAAAATTTAATCCCCACGCCTGCTCTATGAGGCATCTCCTGTTACCCTCATCTTACAAATGACTAACGTGAAACACAGGTATCACAGGAAAGGTCACCCAGCCGCGCGCGGGCGGGGGGCGCGCAATGTGAACCCGGACAAACTGACAACCCCCCTGTACTTTGTTGCCCAAGGTCACGGGTGAGTGAGGCCGCCGGGGAGGAAGGCGCTGACCTGTCGGAGACTTGTTCCTGAGTGAGCTTCTTGTCGCTCTGCAGCAGGATGGACACGTAGTGGCGGATCATGCCCACAAAGAAGGTGATGATAACGATGGGTAGGACCACCCAAAGGCGGATGTTGGAGTCAAGCAGCAGCTCCGGCCCCGCCATCTTCACAGACAGCCGGCTCCCACCCGGTGTAGCCGGGTTTCTCCTCCCACGGGGCGCGAAGGCCCCTCTTCGATTTCGCTTACGGGCCTTCCCACACCTCCCGGCCCTGCTGGCCGGGGACCGACTCCAGCTTCTGCCCTGGCGCACTGCCCCCAGCCGGGCCGCCGGGCCGCCCACTTCCGGCGCGGAAGTCTGGCGTCACGGACAGGCGCGCCTCTCTGGCGTCAGCGCGGCGTCTCTCCCGGCGGGAAAGTCGAAAAGGAGGGGCCGCGACGGCTTCCCGGTGGGTGAGTGCGGCGGCGGCCGTCGTCTCTGGAGGCCCCGAGGTACTGTGGCCTGGTGGGTGGGCTCCGGCCGAGCTCGGCCTTTCTCTCCGGGGCTCCGCGCCCCGCACCCGGCCTCCTCATCTGCCCTGTCCTGTCGTCGGATAATCCCCCGGGTACCTTCCTGCGTCGTTAAAGTTACAGAAAGAGAAGGGCTTTTACTCCCAGCTTCTTCCTGAACGACCTGGTCGACACAGTCGTCCCACCCGCCAGTCTTTCAGGCTTCTGTGGAAAGGAGCCGTGTCGTGGGCTTGTGCACCTAAGTCCTGCGGCCCCGACTCACATTTATTTTAGTCTGTAAAATGGCTGATAATGGTTGTAAGTATTTAACGAGGCAGTGGGCGAAGAAAACGCTTAGCGTGGTGCGCGCGCACGGTAAATGTCAACTACTGTTGGAGCCATCATTACGATCAAGAGTAAGTACAGCTGGAGTCAGACTGCCTGAAACCCAGCTCTCCCACTGAATAAGGATACCTACCTCAAGAAGGCTTGTGAGGGACACATGAAGTATTCATTAACTGTAAAGTACTCAAAAGTCGTTCTTGTTATTAGTATTTGCCTGCCTGCCAGCCATTCTCATTTAGGGAACATTCTCAGAAATGTCACGCTGGGCACTGGGGATACTGAGGTAAGAGACTAAACGGGGTTCCTGTTGTCTGGGAGCCTCACCTCTGGTGTGACGGGGTAGGGGGTCCTAGGTACAGTGTATGGAACCGGGGGCTGGAGTGGCAAACGCCCTTGGCGATAGGAGGAACGTTTTTCAAGGAAGATGACATTTGACTGCGTCCTTAAGGATGTGGAGTAGTTTCCAGGCAGATAAGAGCATTTCAGGTGAAATCAACCTTGTGCAAAAGCCCTGAGACCAGGAATGTTCCGGTTTACAAGAGCGACCAGGTGGCCCTTATTGTGGTTCCCGCCATCCCCTACCTCTGCAGTTTCTAACTCTACAGGCTCCTTACTGGCTCAATGTTGAGTTTTTTCTCTGCTGGGACTACTCTTCTCCTACATCTTCTACAGGCTAACTCCTGTTTCAGCCTTCCAAGTCCTTGCTTTGAAATCATTTTCTCGGGATCCCTGGGTGGCGCAGCGGTTTGGCGCCTGCCTTTGGCCCAGGGCGCGATCCTGGAGACTCAGGATCGAATCCCACGTTGGGCTCCCGGTGCATGGAGCCTGCTTCTCCCTCTGCCTGTGTCTCTGCCTCTCTCTCTCTGTGTGTGACTATCATAAATAAATAAAAATTAAAAAAAAAATCATTTTCTCAAAGAGATTATCCCTGGGAAATTGTCCCTGCTTTCCTTTATCTCTCCTACCCCCCAACTAGGCTAAATTTCCTTATAAGCCCTCATGGCACCCTGTGCTTCTCTCTTATAGGAGAGCACTTATATGACTGTGGTTAAATAACTACAGCAAGACTCTTTGCTACTCTACTCTAAACTCCCTGAGGGCAGGGATCATGTCTGGTTCACAGTTGTAACTCCAGCACCTAGCGCAGTCTCCAACATATGATACTGGATTAATGAGTTAAAGTAGAGGTAGGTTGGAGCCAGATGATGAAGGATCTGGAGTGTCAGAAAGAGAATTGGGTTTTATCCTTCAGTGAGAGTAAAATGGCCTAGCTAAAGAGGCAACTAGGTACACAAGTTCTGAAAGGAAGTATTGACCAGATACAGGAGTTGAAATTCTCTCAGCATGTGGAGTTAGATAAGATAGCGTTAGTGTAAAAACTAGAACCACTTTGGTGTTGAGTAGTTTTCTTTGAGTGATAGCTTTAATTTTTCAGGATTTAGCTTCTAGGGGGTAACTTCTATTCTCTGATTTTGCTCTAGAAAGTGATTTAATTGCAGAAGGCTTCTGGTCAAAATGGTTTCCAAGAGAAGGTTGTCAAAGTCAGAGGATAAAGAGAGTCTGACAGAAGATGCCTCCAGTAAGTATCTAGTCGTTTGTTGTTTTATTTCTGGTAACACACAGATAAAGTACCTTCTTTCAAGTGCTGGGAGTCATCAAGGCTTAATGGTAGAGCACACAGAATCTAGTATCAGGAGATTTGGGGTTGAGTGTCTGCTTCTCATTCTATGTATGACTTTGGGCATGCTCACAGTCTCAGAGCTTCAGTCTCCATGTCCATAAGAGGAATTAGTATTATAAAGCTTACCCACTTATATCATGTGGGTGCTGAGATAGAGGGTACAACATAGTCTCTATCCTTTAAAAAAAAAAAATATGGTCTCCTTTTTTCCATTAAAAATAATTAATAGTATGGGGTTGCATGGCTGGCTCAGTCAATGGAGTGTGTGACTCTTGATCTCAGGCTTGTGAGTTTGAACCCTACGTTGGGTGTACAGATTTTTTAAAAATAAAAATCTTAAAATTATAGTTCAGATAAAGGTATGATAGTGAAAGGCATTATATCAAAGCAAGCACACCAAGGGTGAAGAAACAGTGTAGACTGGGATCCCTGGGTGGCGCAGCGGTTTGGCGCCTGCCTTTGGCCCAGGGCGCGATCCTGGAATCCCGGGATCGAATCCCACGTCAGGCTCCCGGTGCATGGAGCCTGCTTCTCCCTCTGCCTGTGTCTCTGCCTCTCTCTCTCTCTCTCTCTGTATGACTATCGTAAAAAAAAAAAAAAAAAGGCATGATGCAGGAAAACCTGTCTGATTCTTTTTTTCCTACATCAAGATCATTGGTTCTCACATTTTGATGTGCATCAAGATTATTACCTGGAGAACTTTTTAAAAATTCAGATGCCCAGGCCCCATCCCCAAGATTTTCATTGAGTAACTATGGGATGTGATCTAAGAATGTGCTTTTAATAAGCTTCTGAATGATTCAGTGCAGTGGTTTGCAGAATTTTCCCTTTAAGGTTATTCTAGGGTTTACATTTTGGTCTTTACTATTTTTCACATTCTTGAAAATTTTGTCTGTTTTCAGAAGCCAGGAAGCAACCGCTTTCCAAGAAGACAAAGAAATCTCATGTTCGCGATGAAGTTGAAGAAAACGATAGTGTTTTTGTAAAGCTTCTTAAAACATCAGGAGTTATTCTTAAAACAGAGAGTCAGAATCAACTAAGTAATATATTAATTTAAATCTTTTCTCTGGGTTTAGTGCAGGGCTCAGAACTGAATTACGGATTTCTGCAATAGAGAGGCAGTGAAGATTAAAAATGGGAGCGCTGTCCATCTTGAGACAAGAATGACAATGATACTGCTTTTTAAAGAATATTTTTTATAGTCTTTGGTTCTGATTAATGCATGTTAAAGTAATTCTAATTTTTTTATAAAAAAACGTCATGACAGTATTTGTGTTTTCTTGTGGAAAAATAAATTAATACTCAAGAGAATAATTAGACTTGTGTCAGTAACTTCAGAAGAAAATTTATAAAGCCATTTAAAGCTGCTTTTAGGGCATAGATTACTCCATTATTCTGTATCTTTTTTAGAACACTTAGTAGCTATCCTTTGTCAAAGCTAAATCTGTTTTACCATGGGTTTAGAAAAGTTGGCTCTGAAATTAGGTTGAAAATATCTTTATTGGTTTCATAAGATAGGAAACTTACATCTTTAGGTAAATAAAACTATGGTAGGAGATATTAAAGACTCTGGTGACCAACTGTTTTTTTCCTCTTAGCTGTGGATCAAATTGTTTTCCAAAAGAAGCTCTTTCAGACTCTGAGGAAACATCCTTCTTATCCCAAAGTATGTGTTTCTTCCTGGTACTTTTTTGCTTTTGCCAGCAGTACTCTGGAATTGGGAATATAAAGACGCTGGCATAAAATTGAATGGGCTAGAATGATTTTTAGCAAATATTAAAGTAAAAATCTTACCCTTTGTTTTTTCAATGTCATTAAGATAATAGAAGAATTTGTTAGTGGCCTGGAGTCTTACATTGAGGACCAAGACAGTTTCAGGAACTGCCTTTTGTCTTGTGAACGCCTGCAGGATGAGGAAGCCAGGTGTGGAGTGGAAACATGGAGTCTTGAAGTCATGAAGCCTAAAGTTTAGTCTGTTATACTAATGATTGGGAGATGGTGGTGGGAGGAAAATGCTTTTTTTGAATTTCACTTTTTATAACTGTATTTTCCTCGGTTTTAACCTTTAAGTTAATTAAACTATTAATTTATAGTTATAAGACTAAGAATCAGAGTGTTTTCTAGAGTATGTCTCATCTCTGTTGATAGAATTTTAACTTTCTACTTCTCTTTAAGAATCATCTTCTCGAGGTGCCTGGGTGGCTCAGTTAGTTGAATATCCAACTCCTGTTTTCCACTCGGGTCATGATTTCACAGTTGTGAGATCGAGCCCTGCCTCAAGGCTCTGTTCAGCTCAGGATCTGTTTCAGATTCCCTCTCCCTCCCCTTCTGTCTCTCCCCCTGCTCATGCTTACTCTCTCTCTGAAATAAATAGGTAGATAAATAAATAAAATCTTTAAAAAAAGAGCCTTTTCATGTTCTATATTTCTGATATAACAGGATAGTCTCTCTAAATATTGTATATTTAGGGGTACCTGGGTAGCTCAGTGATTGAGTGTCTGCCTTTGGCTCAGGGTCCCGAGGTCCTAGAATTGAGTCCTGCATCAGGTTCCCCTAAGGAAGCCTGCTTCTCCCTTTGCCTATGTTTCTGCCTCTCTCTGTGTCTCTCATCAATAAATAAAAATCTTTTAAAAAATATGTATATTTAGCCAATTTTATGAAAAAAAGATAACATTAAAATGAAAACAAAATAGAAAACATTTTTTTTTTTTTTCCAGCATGGGCACATCTTACTCTAAGAGCCTCATTAAATTGCTTCTGGGAATTGACATATTACAGGTGAGACTGTGCCACTTTTTCTGCAAATATTTGATGGATGTGATTTGTGGTATATGTCCAGTCTAAATGCCTAGAACACAGAGTTGAGTAGAGTTAACAGGAGAGTTTGGGTTTGCAGTAGTTAACCACGGCCGGAATCCTGACATACATCTGGTAGGGTAATATCTGTGGCTTTGGAATGAACTAATTATAGCCCAATACATTTTTTTGAAATTTCATTTATTCCCTCAGCCTCTGATTCCTGATTTGTAAGGCTTCCTTCCTTGTGCTCTGAGTACCTTATATATCTCTGCCATATTCACATCTATGTCATCTCCTGTTTGGGTTGTTATTTGCTGGTTAACTTTTTTTTAACTTTTATTTTGCCCTTTTCCTCCTTTCTTTTAATGTATTGAATAGACAATGATCTGACATGTTTTAAATGTTTCAAATTATAAAAACATACAATGGAAGGTCTTGTCTTACCCTGTTGTCTATTTTTTTTCTCTTTTTCTCTCTCCCATTATTATTCTTCCCATATCCTTATCCCATCTTTTTCTTTGGAAATCTTCAATATAATTTAGTTAGCTTACATTTAAGAGCCCTCTTATTCTTCTGGAGAGAAATCTTCTCTTGCAAACTATTTGATAATCTTTTAAGCCTGCATTTCATGGGTTAACAGTTGTTATAATAATATTTTTGATCTGATTATTTTCATACTGCCTTCATAATCATTTTGTAATATTTTAGAAGAGACATCATTGACAAGTCTCAGCTTATGTTCAAAATATAGGCAGCATTCACGTGGCCATTCTTAAAATAAGAGGATTTCAATTATAGCAGGGCTTTTCCTCGAAGAGCTCTTGTTGGAGCAAATTGTGATTAATTATGTATTTCTGTTGTGTATTTAAAGACCATCTCCTAACTCCTTATGTCTTTTTTTTTAGCCTGTCATTATCAAAACCTTATTTGAAAAGTTGCCAGAATTTCTTTTTGAAAAGTAAGTGGAATTATTCTGGAATGCTTACATTACCTTTGTGCAGTTAAATTTCTGTCTGAAAAGATTACTCTGAAGCATCACTGTTTTCTCTGAAAGTCATATTTATCATGACACCAGATTCATAAGTGACTACTAAAATTTTACTGGGGTGTCTTTTTTTTTTTTGAAATTTCATCTATTTATATGACTGCATGTTCTTAGAAGGGTACACAATAAACTGGTAATAGTGGTTGTCTCCAAGGAGAGGAGTCAATTGCCTGGAATCAGATGTTCTATGAATACTGTTCTTTACCTTTTCAATTTTATAGTGTACGTGTACTATTTTTTTTTAATTTGCTTTAAAAAATAATGAAGTTGGAAAAAATGAACAACCTAATAGAACAGTAGAGGTCATGAATAGACAATTCACAAATACAAGAGAGCATCTTATTCACGAACATGGCATCGAAGGCGAAGAAGGAAGCCCCTGCCCCTTCCAAAGCCAAAGCAAAGGCTTTGAAAGCTAAAAAGAGCAGTGTTGAAAGGCATGCACAGTTACAAAATAAAAGATCCGCACGTCACCTAGTCACTTACGTTCGGACAACCCAAGACCCTGTGTCTCCGAAGGCAGCCCAGATATCCTCGAAAGAGCATCCCCAGGAGAAACAAGCTTGATCATCAGATTCCTCCTGACTACTGAGTCAGCCATGAAGAAAAAAGAAGACAACAACACACTTGTGTTCATTTTGGATGTCAAGGCCAATAAGCACCAGATCAGACAGGCTGTGAAGAAGCTCTATGACATTGATGTGGCCAAGGTCAACGCCTTGATCAGGCCTGATGGAGAGAAGAAAGCATATGTTCGACTGGCTCCTGACTATGATGCTTTGGATGTTGCCAACAAAACTGGGATCATCTAAATTGAGTCCAGCTGGCTATAAATCTAAATATAAATTTTTTCACACACACACAATAAGAAATATAAGAGCATGAAACATTTTTTTCTCAATGTTCATCTTCATTAATAATCAAATATACAAATTTAAAACAATACATACTTTTTTTTCTATTCTCAAAGGATCTCCCTTATTGAGTGTAATGAACAGGCATGCTTATACATTGCTAATCGATTGGTTCAAGTTATTCTGAAGGGCAGTAAGTCATGTCTATCAAAACCTTAGAGTTTGTATACTCTTTAGTGTTCAACCATGTCTTTAATATATCCTAAGGTAATAACCAAATGAAAACAGTAATAAATACAATTACTATTTAACAAAAAATAATAATGGAGATGTTTAACTCTAGGGGATTGGTTAAGTAAATGAGGTACATCCCTGCAATAGAATATTATGTGGACATTAAAAATTATACAGAGGACTTTTTAATACCTCTCAATTGGAAAAAAATCAAAGATCGGGTTACAAATTAGTATTTATAGTTTAGCCCAGTATTTTATTTAAAAAAGAAATACAAGGGCACCTGGGTGGCTCCGTCAGTTAAGCATCTGATACTTGATTTCGGCTTGGACCATGATCTCAGGGTCGTGAGATTGAGCACTGCATCGGGCTCCATGCTCAGTTTGGAGTCTGCTTGGGATTTTCTCTCTTCCTCTTCTTCCCATTCCCCCCTCCCTCCTGTGCATGTGTTCTCTCTCTCTCTAAAATAAATAAAATCTTTAAAATATATATATATACACACACACCATACATAAAGATAACATATGCATATTAATAATGGACCTCTCTGGATGACAGAATTATAGGTCATTTTTACTTTCTCATTTTTAATATGTTTTTTTTTCTAGGTCTTATATATGGTAATAATACATTTAAAGATAGAGCTTTACAAATTTGTGCTTTTCCTGGATGGCTTGCATAGATGATGCTTTATGTCTTTTTCAGCAGTTAAATTGGACAGAGACAATGCTTTCAAGAAAAGAAATTGGAGGTGGTCTAAAACTTTAGACATAGGAGGTTGGAGGAAGGCAGATGCTGTCATTTGGGGGGAAATAATAACAGCCAGTATTTCTTTTTTTCTTAAGATTTATTTATTTGAGAGAGAGTGCATACCCATGTGTGTGTGCAAGCATGCACTTGAGTGGGAGGAGGGGCAGAGGGAGAGCATATTCAAGCAGACTCCCCTCTGAGCATGAAGCCACATGTAGGGCTTGACCTCAAGACCTGTGAGATCATTGGGACACCTGGTGGCTCAGGGCGTGATGCTGGGATCTGGAATCGAGTCCTACATCAGGTTCCCTGTGGAGAGCCTGCTTCTCCCTCTGCCTATGTCTCTGCCTCTCTATCTCTGTGTCTCTCATGAATAAATAAATAAATCTTAAAAAAAAAAAGACCTATGAGATCATGACAGCTGAAATCAAGAGTTGGATGTTCAGCTGATTGAGCCACTCAGGTACCCCCAGCATTTCTTCATTTATACATGGTTTTCAGTATTTTCACGAACATAGTCTAATTTGACCTTTTATATTTCCAAAGTAGTACATGCTTGATTTTTTTCAGTACTTATCACATTGATATAATTAGTTTTCTACCTTTTAAAAATATTCTCATTCAGTTTGTTCAAGTTTATTGTCTTTTGTTTGCATTGTTATTAAGAAATACTCTGCAAAAAAAAAAAAAAATACTCTGCAGGTCTTAACCTTTCTAAACCCTCCCCAGATGCAGCCACTTTTAACAATTTAGTGTCTTCTTCCATCTTAACACATGTATCATCTGTGTGTCTAATGCAGCTTGTAATGTGTAAATGTTCAGTAAATGTTAATTGAATGTCTGAAAGGGTTTGTACACTTTTAATGCTTGCTGTTGTGTAAGTAAGAAAGGCTAAGTTTCTGTCTTCTCATTCTAACATTTCAGTGTGAACAGTGATGGACTTAATATACCTAGACTGATTATCAGTCAGCTGAAATGGCTTGACAGAATTGTGGATGGCAAGGTAGGCTTTGGAACTTGTTCTGTCTCTTGGATTTATTTTTTTTAATTTATTTTTAAGATTTTATTTATTTATTCATGAAAGACACAGAGAAAGAGGCAGAAACACAGGCAGAGGGAGAAGCAGGCTCCATGCAGGGAGCCTGATGTGGGACTTGATCCCGGGTCTCCAGGACCACACCCTGGGCTAAAGACAGCGCCAAACCTCTGGGCCACCGGGGCTGCCCTGTGTCTTGGATTTAGAATCTGTTTTCTATATAAACTTAACCAAACTTCTGGAATTTATAGGAGTTTTTTTTTTCTTTTCTAAACTGAAAATTCACATTTTTCTATTTATTAGCTTTTTTTTTGTTTCATAATTTGAGAATCATGGATATTTCACCTTTTAAATTTCTCAAAAAAAGTTTTTCTAATTATGACTAGATATCTATTAAATAAATATTTGGAAAGAAATTAAGTAGCTTTCCAAAGTACAGAGATGACTATGTTTCATTTCTCAAGAGCATTGAGATTCCAGACCAAACTACCATGCTGCAAATGCTTAATTTGATTACATATGAGAAAAGTTTTAGGAAGTTTTTAGAATTATGTGATTTGTTATTAAGCATTTTGGTAAAATTGAATCAATTTTGAGCTACTGTGTAAGGCGTATTTCTCTTCAGAGTTCTTTAAATTATTTTTTAAATTTTTGTCAGGCATTCCAAGGCTTAATCTTTATTAGGAAGAACATGAGTTTTGGAATTTCCTGTGGACTGGAGTTTTGTATTATTTATTTATTGTATTGTACTTACTGTGTATCCTTGGACAACGCATATCCTCATGTTTTAAAGATGGGAATTGTCTCGTTGCTGAGCTGTCAGTGGAGCATGTGACTCTTGATCTCAGGGTTGTGAGTTTAAGCCCCATGTTGAGTATGGAGTCTACTTTAAAAAAAAAAAAGGAACTGTCACACAGACTCCATAGAGTTGTGAAGATTAAATGAAGTAAAGTATATAACAGACTCATTAGATAATATACCATTCGCTGTACTTGTTTTCTGTTTACCATCCCATGTGTGACAATTTCTGGTTCATTTACATCTGAATTTAGGCTTTGAGTCTGAATGCATATTGTACATAAAATAATTCCAGGTCTATGTTTTGTGAGGAGGATGTTTTTCTCTGGGTAATGTGCAACAATTCTAATGGTCTCCTCCACTATAGGATCTCACCACCAAGATCATGCAGCTGATCAGTATTGCTCCACTGTACCTGCAGCATGACTTTGTCACCAGCCTACCAGAGATCCTAGGGGATTCCCAGCATGCTGATGTAGGGAAGGAACTCAGGTGGGTAAGCTCCCACTCTGGGGGCCTTAACACTGCAGAATGAAAATGGTAGTGGTAATGTATTCCTATTTATATAAAAGAGGATAGTATCTATCTTCCATGACTAGGTGTGGGATTTGACTTGTTTTTGTAATAATGAGCATATTTTTGAGTAGACCCATCTACTTTTTTTTACACAGTATACTAGACATGAATATGAAGTCTGGGTTAGGATTAGGCATATAAATTTGGTCTTTGGACACCTAAACGTAATCCAATTGTTTCGTTAGCATTTCTTCCACCCAGGGAGTCCTTGGTTGTGACTGCATATATAAATCATTTGTAGAGCTTATCAGTCCTCTACATTCTTTGGTCCCTAAATGATTCATTCCGATGTACCCATCAGACCCATTGCTAAAAACATTGCTTACTATCATTAATGTGAAAAATAGTAATTGGTAAGACAGTAATTAAAGAAGAGAGAACAGTATCCTTCCTTAATGGGATTTTTGTTTTAATGCAATTTCTTGCTTATCTCCAAAACAGTTTTAAAAATTCAGTTTGTAGTACTTCCTTTTCTTTAGTTGTCTGCAAAGATACCTCTAAAAATGTCCGATGATTTCTTGCTTTTGTGCTTTTGGGCAGGATGCTCCCTCTGGGTATAGCACTGTACCTGCAGTACTGTACCATCTACTTTGCCTGCTTAATTCCAGCTTGTACTTTTGCATAGCCTTTTCTTCGAAACCATCACTTTACTCTGTGCTCCTGTAATGCCCTTCATGTACATCTGTCATACTTCTCGTAGTTCATTGTAATTGTTGTAGGTTTTCTTTTTCCTTTTCTCAGGAAGGATATGTGCCCAACTTAGTATTGGTTACCTCTGGGTAGTGGAGATGGTGAGGAAGGGCTTCTTCTTTCTACTTGTTGTTTGATTTTTCTATAATGAACATGTATATTTTTAAAAGATTTTATTTGAGAGAGTCAGCAGCTGGGAGAGGGGTAAAGGTAAAGGGAGAAGCTGACTTCCTGCTGAGCGGGGAGCCTGCCACTGGGCTCCATCCCAGGACCCTGGGATCATGACCAGAGCCCAAATCAGATGCCACCCAGATGCCAAGTGAGCCACCCAGGCGCCCTGAGCATGTATTTTTTTTTTAATCAAAACAATTTTGAATGAAATATACTATAAAAAAATTCAGTGGGAACTGAGTATGTCCTTTCTTCCTGTACTCTGAGTGATTTTCCAAGTAATTATCTGCCCAGCTCTGTTAAAAGTTGCACAGCTTTTCTCTTTTTCCATCATTCACAGTGAGCTTTTAATGGAGAATACTCTACTCACTGTCCCTATCCTGGATGTCCTTTCCAGCCTCCGACTTGACCCGAAGCTCCTAACTCAGGTAGGAAGGACTCTACTCTCCAGAAACAGAGCTAGCTTTCTTACCTCCCAGATCCAATGTCAGCCATTGCTTTGAAGCAGTTGCATATAAAAGTTTAATTTTGAAACAATATTGAATGTCATTTCATCTCTTTTTCCCCTTATTGATGAACATATGCCATAGTATGATGTACTATGTATCATATGTATCATATGCCATAGTATGATGGATTCGCTGCTCTGTTTCAAGGCAGTAGGTTTTAGTGGATATCTCTATCTTGCATAATATTTAGACACTGCTCTTCATAGGAATAACAATTTTACATGTCTTCCTCCAGCCAGTGGAAAATTCAGGCTCTAAATTGTAAGATGATAGCACTTTTACATTTATCACCTGTCTGTTTTTGAAGAAACTGTGGCATTAACCATTGAAAACTTGGAATTTGGAATAAAATAAAAATAAAACAAAGTGTTTTTCTTCCTAAATTACAAGTGAGAAAACTGAGAGAAGTAAGTTTTCTAATTTACCTAACGGGGTTGAGGTATTAACATAAAAATATTTAAGGTTTTTGTGCTTTTTATGTTTAGGTCCGCCAATTGGTGATGAGTAAGCTGTTATCTGTCAAATTGGATGATTTACCTGTGATAATCAAGTTCATTCTTCATTCTGTAACAGCCACAGATGCACTTGAGGTACCGTTTTATTTCTCAACAACACTAGTAGGGTGCTAGATCCTTAGAAATGCAGAATGTAGCAGTGGTGCCCTTGTGAAAATCAGTAATGGAAAAGAGACTTACCTAGATGAAGATACATTATTTAAATTTTTGGTTTCTAATTTCTCTTCTCTGTCCCGAAACTAGTTGATAATGGTGATTAATCCAAATAGTATTCAGGGGATAGAATGGAACTAGCCAGATTTCTTGTTATATAAGCTACTATATGTTATATTTGCTATTTCAGTGTAAAACTTCAAGGAATTCTGGAATTTTGAAGGGCTTGACGTACTATCCTTGCATTAGATATTTTCATCAACTCTCCTTTTTAAAATGCCTTGTCTAGGGGCACTTGGCTAGCTCAGTCAGTAGAGCATGTGACTCCTGATTTCAGAGTTGTGAGTTTGAGCCCCATGTTGGGTGTAGAGATTATTTAAAAATAAAATCTTAAAAAAAAAAAAAATGCCTTGTCTAACATTTAGTGATTCTTCTTAATCTTTCAGGATATTGTTATGATTCTATTGAAAGAATGGACTTTGCATATGCACTATGAATGAGCAGAACACATAGCTTAATATTTATTTTCCACAGGTAATTTCTGAACTTCGGGAGAAGTTGGATCTGCAGCATTGTATTTTGCCATCACGGTTGCAGGCTTCCCAAAGCAAGTTGAAAAATAAAGGACGACAAAGGTATAATAATGTCATCAACAGTTTCCACCCTTTTTCTCACATAGGCAAGGAAAGTTTTCTGACATTTATCCTGAAGCCAGGACAGTAGATCTTAATATTTGCCACTATAAATAATCGTAGTAATATTGTTTGCATGTACTACTCTACAGTTTCAAATCATATGCATGTGGTACATGTAATGTGTGTGTATGTATATACATGGGCAGGTTGGATGTAGTCTCCTGGCTATTCAGATCAATCCAAGGTAGATAATAGTATAGGTTTATTAGGCAGTTTACACATGAAGTTGTGCCTTGGGACAGACACTTGGCTAGTAAACGGGAATCCAGATTTTATAGGTTCCTCTTTGGTAGGTGGAAGAATGATTTTTTTTCTCCCTCTGCTACTTGTAGTTCTTCAGGAAATCAAGAAAACAGCGGTCGGGACTGTGTTATTCTTTTTTTCGATGTAATAAAGTCAGCTGTTAGATATGAGAAAATCATTTCAGAAGCCTGGATTAAGGTGAGTGAGGTCTTTTTGACTTTGAACATTAAGGAAGAAGTAAGTGGCAACTGGATATGTAAGTAAAGGTGGGTGGATACAAAAGTATTAAAAGTCAGTCAAGTAGAAATGATAGATGATGGTTGCCACATGGGCAGATCAGTTCTCAAGAGAACGGCATGCTGAATAAGGTGAAACGTGTTCTACTTAGGTGTTGTAATATTTTTGTGACCCTTGTTTTTTTAGGCAATTGAAAGCACTGCCTCAGTGTCTGAACACAAGGTAATGTAAATGTAGTATACGTTTTAAGTAATGCAGACTTAAAATTAATTATATCGGCTAGCTTTCCTTCTTTTCTCTTACTTTCTCTAGTCATCCCTTCTGTGCCTTCTGTAGCTGCTCTAATAAACGGTAGCTGTCTGGGGAAGATGATCTGAGGGGATGACTTGCCAGATGGTCTTTCCTACTCATTTTGGCAATAAAATAAACCCAAGCTATTGGTAAGGGGAAATACTAACATTCCAAACAAGCACAGCGAGTTGCAGTCCCAAGAAGCAAAGTTCCCATAGATGAAGACAGGAGTCACTTGGGGCATGAGTCAGGTCCCTGTATCTGTCTGATTGATTACTCTTCCTTCCACCAAATGGAATTGTCAAGATAATGGCATTCCATGTTTTTACTTTGCCCATGTCAACTTGACTAGAGCGAACCAAATAGTCCATCCATTCACTGTCAAGGCAGTGGTACCAAATCTGTCTTAATTATGGAAATTTTTTCTTCTGTGAAGAAACCAGATGACTGTTTCTTATGTACTAATTGGTTCCCATTAAGGACTTTTCTTATTTGGAATTTGTTTTGTTTTTGGGTTTTGTTAGATTATCCAAATTGTTGGGTGACTATTTTAAAAGCATTTATGGTATTGAATAAAGTAATGAAAACCTTGATTTTTTGTAGAGGATGGATCAGAATAACCTAACAATTTTTTAAATTTTTGTATGACCTTTGGTCACCTATATACCTATTTTACCTGTTTTTACATATTTTAATTATTATAAATATAATTGTGTATTCTGATTTTTTTCTTTTGACATTTTGTCATAAACATTTTGTATGCTTCTGCATTGTTTTTATGTTCTTTTTTCTTTTTTTTTTAGTCTCCATGCCCAGTGTGGAGCTCAGTGCAGAGACTGAACTCACATCCCTGAGATCATGACCTGTGCCAAAATCGGAAGTCAGACACTTAATAGACTGAGTTACCCAGGCACCCCATTATGTATTTTATAACTGGAAATTTGTACCTTTTGATTCCCTGCACCTTTTTAAAAAAAATATTTTATTTTAAAGTAATCTCTACACACAATGTTGGGCTCGAAGTTATAACCAAGAATAAGAATTGCATGCTCTGCCAGTTGAGCCAGCCAGGTGCCCCTCCTGTTTGCCCCCGTCCCCCTGCCTCTGGCAACCACCAATCTGTTCTATCAATGAATTCAGTTTTGTGTATATTTTATTTTGTTATTTATTTATTTACTTTTTAGATTCCACATGTAAGTGAGATTATAAGGTCATTGTCCTTCTGTCTGACTTACTTCACTTACCAGAATGTCCTCAAGATCTGTCCTTATTGTTGCAAATGGCAAGATTTGATTCTTTTATGGCTGAATAATATTCCAATGTGTGTGTTTGTGTATCTGTGTACTTACTACATTTTCTTTTCACTTAGGTTGCCCCCATGTCTTGGCTATTATAAATAATGTGTAGGGATCATAGGAGTGCAATGTTTTTGTCGAATTAGTATTTTTTTAAGTATCCAAATGTGGATATTTCTATTTTTAATTTTTTGAGGAACCTCCGTACTGTTTTCAATAGTGGGTGCACCAATTCACATTCCACCAACAGTGCACAAGGATTCCCTTTCTCTACATCCTGACCAGCACTTGTTGTCTCTTGTCTTTTTTTCTTTCTTTCTTTTTTTTTTTTTTTAAGAGTTTATTTATTCATGAGAGACAGAGAGAGAGGCAGACATAGGCAGAGGAAGAAGCAGGTTCCTCACAGGGAGTCTGATTCAGGACTCGATCCCCAGGCCCCAGGATCACGCCCTGAGCCAAACGAAGGCAGATGCTCAACCATTGAGCCACCTAGGTATCCCATGTCTCTTGTCTTTTTAATGATTGCCATTCTGACAAGTGTGAGATGAGATCTCATTGTGGTTGTGATTTGTATTTCCTTGATAATTAGCATCTTTTCATGTATCTGTTGTCCGTTAGTATGTTTTTAAGAAAATTTCTGTTTAGATCCTCTGCCCAGGGACACCTGGTGGCTCAGTCAGTTAAGCAGCTGACTCTTGATTTTGGCTCAGGTCATGATCTCAAGGTCTTGAGATTGAGCCCCACATCAGGGTCTGCCCTGGGCATAGAGTCTGCTTATGATTCTCTCTCTCCTTCTCCCCCCACCCAACTCATGCTTGCTCTTTTAAAATAGGAAAATTTTAAAAAGTACTTGATCCATGTTTTAATTTGATTGTTTAGTGTTTGCTCTTGAATTGTATTAGTTCTGAATAATTTTTTTTTTTTTTGTTCTGGTTGATACTTTTAACCTTTTTTTTTTTAAAACATAGTTGATACAAGCTAATTGGGGAGAAAAAAAATCCCACAAGGAGTCTAAAAACGTTAAAGTTTCCCTTTGCTTTCTGTTCCATTCTTCATGGATGATTGTTCTAGATTTTTTCCTATTCGTATATAAGCTGTATGTGTGTATTAATGCAGGCATGCTTACTCTTACACATATTTATGTTTGTATATTTTTACAAAAATAAAATCTTACTATTATTATTGTCTTGCAGGTTGCTTTTTTTTTTAACTTCACGATGTCATGAATGTCAAAAAATATAATCTAGTTGGGGCACCTGAGTGGCTCAGATGGTAATGCATCTGCCTTCGGCTCAGGTCATGATTTCAGGGTCCTGGGACTGAGCCGTACATCAGGCTCCCTGCTTAGTGGGGAGTCTGCTTCTCCCTCTCCCTCTGCCTGCCACTCCCCCTGCTCACGCATGCGCTCTCTCTCTCTCTCTCTCTCTCTCTCTCTCTGTCAAATAAATAAAATCTTTAAAAAATATGTATAAATACATGTATATATAGTCTAGCTTATTCTTTTTAGAGGCTGTGTAATCTGAAAATGACTATCCATTTTTTTTCATATTGAACACATTTACAGTCTCTCCAACTTTTCAGAAAGTAGTTTTCCTAATAATAATGGAATAGGAATATATACTGAGGTTGGCCAGTGATTTTTCTTTAATAAATGTGAGGATAAAAAAAATAAAAATAAAAATAAATAAATAAATGTGAGGATATTCAAAGTTATTTCTGTAATAACATCACTTCAACTTATATTCCAATGTTTTCATAAGAGATACCAGTGGTTAATAGTTGTAGCACTTTATTTTTCTGGTAAACATTTGTGGGTTTTGTGAAAAAGAAAAAAAAAATGTAGATACTGCCATGGGAGTATGTTGAGCAAATGAGGATCACTCTTACTGTGTTTTCATGGGAAAAAGTTGTGAGCTGCTATTTCATGGAAATAAATGTACTGATTTATTAAACTATTTCTCTTTTGTCATATTTATTAACAATAGACTTTTGACTTGGCAATGCTTCTCATCATCTATAGCACAAACACTCAGACAAAGAAGTACATTGAAAGAGTGCTAAGAAATAAGATCCGATCAGGCTGCTTTCAAGAAGAGCTTCTACAGAGTACATTCTATATTCATTACTTGGTAAGTGTCAGAGAATCAGACCACATTAGTCTGAAAGTTACAGAGAAGTCATTTTTTATTTGGAAAGATTTTATTTATTTATTTATTTTTTAAAAAAGATTTTATTTATTTATTCATGAGAGTGACAGAGAGAGAGGCAGGCTCCATGCAGGGAGCCTGATGTGGGACTCGATCCCGGGACTCCAGGATCATGCCCTGGGCGGAAGGCAGGCTCTAAACTGCTGAGCCACCCAGGGATCCCCAGATTTTATTTATTTATTCACGAGAGTCACAGAAAGAGAGGCAGAGACATAGGCAGAGAGAGAAGCAGGCTCTCTGCATGGAGCCCATTGCAGTAGTGGATCCCAGGACCCCAGGATCATGCCCCAAGCCAAAGGCAGACGCTCAACCACTAAGCCACCCAGGAGGTCCCTAGAGAAGTTATTTTTAACCTTCCTTACCTAGTGTGGGAATCTTGACAATACCTCCTGTGCTGGATATTGATTTTCGAAAAGCTCAATATACTTCATAACAGGATTATTTCTTAACTTGACTGAGACATTATGATGTTAATAAAACCAACCTAAGATTGGTGTCTCATCTTCTTAGATGAAAGGTGACAAAATTTGTTGATGTTGAACTGATTAAACTCAAGCCCCAAATTATTTTTTATAGGAAATGTTTTAGTTCAGGTCTTCTAATTACGTACTTAAATAACTTGATTTTTAACTTAAAATGGAAGGCTTTACAGCTCCCATATAAAGATTTTTTTCTTGTTAGTTTCAGCCCATTGTTCAAGTGCATTGGGATTTTGAAATCTTAACTTTGCATTAATCATTTTCATTATCTAGCTCTTTATGATCTGCAGCTTTGATAAACATGCCTTCTTTATCCTGTTCTTTTTTTTTTCTTTATCCTGTTCTAAGCAGTTTTTAAAAACCCTGAGCATAACAGGACCAGAAGAATGCAAATAGAGACATAATTATGCATCTATTAAACCATCCGTATTTGCCCATTCAGTAGTGTGACTCTTGGGTGATTATTTCTGTTGAAATGTAAACCATTAAAAAAAATTTTTTTTAAATTTTTTATTTATTTATGATAGTCACAGAGAGAGAGAGAGGGAGAGGGAGAGGGAGAGGGAGAGGGGCAGAGACACAGGCAGAGGGAGAAGCAGGCTCCATGCACCGGGAGCCTGATGTGGGATTCGATCCCAGGTCTCCAGGATCGCGCCCTGGGCCAAAGGCAGGCGCCAAACCGCTGTGCCACCCAGGGATCCCGAAATGTAAACCATTTAAATTAGAGTTGTATAAACTAGGAATGGTGTTTCCTGGTGAATTTTCAGATTATTAACAGCATGTACCTTCTTAGGAAACTGGATAACCAGTGGTTTAGGGGCCTTGGCTTAGGAGCCAATGAAAATATACAGTTGGGTCTTAAGGTTTTATATTTAGGAATGAATTTAATGTTTGTATTATTTTATCTTATAATCCTTTCTGTACTTATTTCTGGCAATGATATGTGTTTTGGGCTATAATTTTCCAGAAGGCAGAAACCATATATAATTTTTTTTTAAAGATTTACTTATTTTAGAGAGAGGGTGTAGGGGTAGAGGGAGAGAGAAATCCAAGCAGAGTGTACTGAGTATGGAGACTGATTGGCTCGACCTCACAACCCTGAGATCACGACCAGAGCCAAAACCCAGGAGTCAGACACCTAACCAACTGTGCCACCGAGGCACCCCATATATGATTTTTTATTGAATTTTCCTAAGCAAAGCATTATACCCAATTCAGGATTTAAGATTTTCTTTATTGTGATGGTATCAGTAAAGAAGCTAGACTTTAAACTGTAAATAACATTTACTTTGAGTCCATTAATGTCCATCTTCCGCCTTATTGCTTAGACATAATCAGTTCTCTTTTTTATCTAAAGAGAAATCAATTTAACTAGTGTTGAACCTTATACATTGATTTCAAATATCCCCAGGAAGGCAGTATGATTGAGTGAGGAAATTGGGATTTAGAAGATCTGGATTCTAGTCCCAATTGGGCAGATAGGAAGGATGCTACCAGGCTTATAATTTATAAGTTCTTTCAGCTTCCTGGTCACTTCTTATCCATACATCAAATCCCACTGATCCTGAGAGAAAACTCAGAATTATGAAGGGTAATTTTGAGTAAAACAAAGATTTAAGTTTCCTTAGGTTAGAACGAGAGTTGGTGAGAAGAACTCTGACATCCTAAAAGGGCTATTAGCAAGTCTTGGTTCTGTAATAACTAAATTCCTCACACAGCTTTATTTTCTCTTCTCTTTTCCCCATAAAGGTCCTTAAGGATATTTGTCCATCCATTCTGTCCCTGGCTCAGAGTTTGTTGCACTCCCTAGACCAGAGTATCATTTTGTTTGGCAGTCTCCTATACAAATATGCATTTAAATTTTTTGACACTTACTGTCAGCAGGTATGTTGAAATATTTATTTTGGAAGGGAGGGAACAGGAAGAAATGAAATTCCAAGTGACTTGCATATTATATGCTTATTTCTTGTTAATGGGAAGGCATTTAAGCAAAAAGAACTCTGAACTGGAAGTTGGGAAAACTTAGTTCTATTCTTAGTCTAAGTAAAATGAGGAGACTGGATTGGAGGATCTAACACTGCGTTTTGAGCTCTAAAATTCTCTGAATTTAATATGAAGGTCCACATCCAGTCTATTTAAATAAACCATGGGGGTAAAGAAGATGTGGTATATATACATATATATGTACATATGTATACACACACACAATGGAATATTAGCCATCGGAAAGGACAAATACCATTTGCTTCGATGTGGATGGAACTGGAGGGTATTATATGCTGAGTGAAATAAGTCAATTGGAGAAGGACAATCATAAGATTTCACTCATGTGTGGAATGTAAGAAATAGTGAAAGGGATTATAAGGGAAAGGAGAGAAACTGAGTGGGGAAAAATTAGGATGACAAACCATGAGAGACTCCTAACTCTGGGAAACAAACAAAGGGTTGCGGAAGGGAAGGCATGTTCCCACCTGGGATAACTGGGTGACGGGCACTAAGGAAAGGCACTTGATGGGATGAGCACTGGGTGTTATACTATATGTTGGCAAATTGTTTTTTTTTTTCTTTTTAAAGATTTTATTTATTTATTCATGAGAGACACAGAGACAGACAGACAGAGACACAGGCAGAGGGAGAAGCAGGCTCCATGCAGGGAGCCTGATGTGGGACTTGTTCCCAGGTCTCCGGGATCAGGACCTGGGCTGAAGGCAGGTGCTAAACTGGGGAGCCACCCGGGCTGCCCTATATTGGCAAATTGAATTTAAATAAAAAATTTTACAAAAAGGAAAAGCATGGCTGAAAGGGCTGGAGTTATTGGGCAGTTTTCAGAGTATACAGGAAGAGAGCATTATTAAAATTTAACTGCAAATGATCAGCTGCCAGTTGATCCTGGAGTAGTTCTCTAGAAAAAATTGTGGTGAAAAACAAATGAAAGAGAAATGCCTGAGGATGTGACCCAAAACCCATGAATATAAGACACAAAATTTAATAGCACATATCCAGAGAGGGAGGGCTGTACTTGTGGAAAATAAAAGATTTAAACAGAGCAATAACAATAAAAATAAAGCAGAGCAATAAATTCAGCTAGCATGAGCTAGCTTCTGCAGTTGAGAAAACCATGTGGCTCAATATGGAGCAGCAGTATAATGGAAAGGGGGAATGGCATACAAGGTATTTTTTTGAACCATCTTAATGTCTTAGAGATACTGTCATGGCTCATGTTTGCTTGAAACATAGAAGTCTAACCTGTAAAAACCTTTAACTTCTTGAGTTGCATCTTTTTTTTTTAAGATTTTATTTTTAAGTAATCTCTACACCCAACATGGCGCTTGAACCCACAACTGCAAGATCAAAAGTTACACCTTCTAGCTGAGCCAGCCAGGCACTTTAAGCTCCATCTTTTTAGTAAATTTTAAACAGATTAAGTACAGCCATAGCTTAAAAGTACTATTTAATGTATATGAAAAAGAAAGACATGCTAGGGAAGGAAGATCAGGAGGGCTTAGATAGTGCTCACTGATAAATCTTAGGAAATAAGTCAAGAATGGATGTCATGTAGTTAGGTTGGCATAATCCTCAACTTCCTGAATCCAACATTTATGAAAAGTAAATAAATAGACAATGGCATAGGGCAGGTTGGGATTTTAACCAAGTTGAGATTGGAATGGTCTCAAGCATTAACCCTTTTAAGATGGCCATGTCATATTTTTATTCACACTATTCTATGACTCCTTATCGTATAGGAAGTGGTTGGTGCCCTGGTGACCCATATCTGCAGTGGGAATGAAGCTGAAGTTGATACTGCGTTGGATGCCCTACTAGAGTTGGTAGTTCTAAACCCATCTGCTATGAGGCTGAATGCTGTCTTTGTGAAGGTATCTGTCCCTCTGTTGACATATTGAGTCCGTTTTCTTTCTTGCATGTATCTGAGGGATAGCTGGCATCCATTAATTAGCAATTTAATTCCTATTCTAGATACTGAGCACTATAATTGGTAGGAGAGGGTGGGAAGGAGGTGAAGTAATGGACAAATAATAGAAAAAGAATAACTCATTTATGTATGTATTAATGCATTCAGCAAATACTTCTTTGTACCTATGTGCAGGCTCTACTCCGGGTGTTCTGTATATAAAACTTAGTTCTTGCCTTTGGTGATAGCGAAACATATAAACAAGTCACTGTAAATACAACATGAGAAATTTTGAGAAAGATAAAGTGCTATAAATACACCAGAGTAAGAATAATTGGCCTTGGAAACTGAGTACTTCTTCAAAGACTAGATTTGAGTGATTTTTGAAGTTTGGGCATGATTCGGTAAGAGAAAAAGTAAATGCATCTAGGCAGAAGACAGTTTAAATAAGCTTATTGGCACCCAGGTCCATGAAATACCTCAAGGATGACAAGTAGACTAGCATGGTTGGCAAATGGGACATATGGTGAGGGTTGGTGGGAGGTGAGGCTGTCCCACTGACATAGGACAGTGTCAGATTATGATGGGTCTCAAATACCATGCTAAAGAGTTTCAACTTTATAGGCCATAGAGAGCTATTACAAGCTTTTAACAGGGAGTTGACATAATCACGTCTGGGCTTGGAATCGCAATTGTAGGTCATGTTATCCCCATAGTAGGGATGAGAAAGCTGAGGTTTTGCCCAAGGTCAAAAAGTATTTCCCTTATGACTTCTTCCACATCTGTAGAGAATGAATAAGTAATTCATGGAGTGGAAGCTGAGAAGGCATATTATGATAAGGAATAAAGTCAGAGATACAACTTCTGCAGAGTATTATTCTCACTGAGAAGGGAAGGGTGGAGAAGAAGAACAGGGAGAAACTAGGAGATACATTAGGTTGACTAACCCTTTGGGATCTGAGCACAGCTTGAGAGAACTTGAGCTTTTGTGGTTATCTGGATGCCTCTTATGCCTGTTCTAAGGATTTTAATTTTCTTATTTACAAGAAGAAAATATTAGTTGCTAACCTAATTTTTTTTTCTCATAGGGCATTTTAGATTATCTGGATAATATGTCCCCTCAGCAGATACGAAAACTCTTTTATATTCTCAGCTCACTGGCATTTAGCAAACAGCATGAAGCCAGCAGTCACATCCAGGTAACAGGCAGTGTGTTGAGAAACCTTTAAAACTTTAAACTTCTATAATTAAAATTCACTGAACAAAATCACTCTTACCTGTGTACAAGGTAAGAGATCAAGTATGTAGCCATAGTCTAAGCACTTACTCATTTTTTTCTTACCAGAAACATTGTCTACTGTGTACCAAGCATCAAGATGGTAAATATATTAGACCTTCTACCCTCAAGTAGCTTAGTCTGTTAGGGTAGAAATGGTTCTGTAATCAGCTGACTATGGAACTGAGTAAGAAAAGCTGTTCAGGTTCTGTACTGAGTGCTGTGGGGACCCAGAGAATGACCTTGTTTTCTAGGGAACATCTACATCTGTCGTGAACTACTTGTGGGCTTGCTTTCATTTGTGGACACCATTCACTGAGAGAGTCAGGCAAAAGGACCGAAACAGGAGATTACATTGCAGTCATAACTCACCTCTTTTGTATCTTTAGTGCCACCCCGTGGCAGTAATCTATACTGGACTGTGACTTTGAACAACCAACATCTTTTGTTAATTAAAAAAAAAAAAAAAAAAGCAAGCGAGGTAATACACATACATAGCACAAAATTCAAAAGGTATGGAAGGTGGTGAAAAATAAGTCTCCCCCCTCCCCTGCAATCAGTCCTTCAGGCATCTGGTTCGCTAAAGGCAATCACCTTTAACTAGTTTATAGCTTTCTGAGCTGTCCTGGACATTTACAAATTTGTATTTAGCAATATTCCATTCCTTATCCTTTTGTTCTGCATCCTGTTTCATTTAGCAGTGTATTTTGGAGATGGCTTCATATCAGTAATATAGAGCTACTTCATTATTTTAAAGATTTTGTGTATTTGAGAGAGAATGCATGTGCAAGCAGAGGGGAGGAGCAGAGGGAGAAGCTGACTCCCCGCTGACCAGGGAGCCCCATGCAGGACATGATTCCGGGACCCTGGGGTCATGACCTGAGCCGAAGGCAGATGCTTTACTGGCTGAGCCACCCAGTTGCCCTCATTATTTTATTTTTTAATGTTGGTAAAATGTACATAACAAATTTTACTATTTTAACCCATTTTTAAGTGGCATTAAGTTCATTAAGAATGTTGTGGTAACTGTCACCATTGTCTATATCCAGAACTTTTTGTCATCCCAGAAACTCCATCCATTAAGCAATAACTCCCCATTTTCCTTCCTCCAGTCCTTGGTTACCTCTAATCTACTTCCTGTCTCTGAATTTGCCAGTTCTGGGTACCTCATTTAAATAGTCATATGAGTGCTTGCTTCGGCAGCACATATACTAAATAGTCATATGAGGGACACCTAGGTGGCTGAGTGGTTAAGCATCTGCCTTCAGCCCAGGGCGTGATCCTGGAGTCCCAGGATCAAGTACCACATTGGGCTATCTGCATGGAGCCTGCTTCTCTCTCTTCCTGTGTCTCTGCCTCTCTCTCTGTGTCTCTCATGAATAAATAAATAAAATCTTAAAATAAGTGAATAGTAATATGAGGGGTATCTAGGTGGCTTAGTTGGTTAAGCTTCCAACTCCTGATTTTAGCTCAGGTCATGATCTCGGGGTTGTGAGATCAAGCCCTGTGTTTGATCCATGCTGGATGTGGAGCCTGCTTAAGATTCTTTCTCCCTCTCTAAAAAAGAAAGTAATAATAAAATTTATTGTCTTTTCACTCTTGATAGTGTCCTTTGATGGAGTGTTGTTTTTTTTTTTAAGTATTTATTTATTCACGAGAGAGAGTGCAAGGCAGAGACACAGGCAGAGGGAGAAGCAGGCTCCATGCAAGGAGCTAGACGTGGGACTCGATCCCGGGACTCCAGGATCACGCCCTGGCCCGAAGGCAGGCGCTAAACTGCTGAGCCACCCAGGGATCCCCCTTTGATGGAGTTTTGATGAAGTCCCAATATATCTTTTTCTTTTGTTCCCTGTACTTTTAGTGTCATACTTAGGAAAAACCATTCTCTTCCAATTCAAAGTCATGAGGATTTTTCCCTTTATTTTCTTCTAAGAGTTTTAGCTCTTAAATTTAGGTTGATTCATTTTGAGTTAATTTTTGTATATGGTTAAAGGTAAGGGTTCATTTAATTTTGCGTGGGTGTGGGTTGTGGGTATCATATTTTTTCAGTATCTTTTGTGTGTGTGTGTGTTTTTTTCAGCACCTTATATTGAAAAGACTATATACCTTCCCATTTGAATGGTGTTAGCACCTTTTTTTTTTTTTTTTTTTTTTTTTTTTTTTTTTTAAGATTTTACTTATCCATTCATGAGAGACACAGGGAGAGAGGCAGAGACATAGGCAGAGGGGAAAGCCGGCTCCATGCAGGGAGCCTGATGCAGGACTCTATCCCAGGATCCCAGGATCATGACCTGAGCTGAAGGTAGACGCTCAACCACTGAGCCACTCAGGTGTCCTTGATCTTAGCATCTTTACAGAAAATCAATTGACCATATATGTGAAGGTTTATTTCTGGTCTCTATCCATTTGTGTATGTGCTTCCTATGCAGGTAGCACACTATCTTAATTGCTGTGGCTTCATAGTAATCTTGAAATTGAAAGATTGTAATAATTCCAAAATTGAAATTTTAAAGAACATGTCTGTTCTTTTTCAAGATTGTTTTGGCTATTTGGGGTCCCTTGAAATTCCATATGGATTTTAAGATGAGTTTTTCTATATCTGTAAAGAATTCTGTTGTGATTTTAATAAAGATTACACAGAATGTGCTTGTCACTTTGAGTACTGTCATTATCTTAACAATATTAAGTCTTCCAATTCAGGAATATGGATATCTTTCCATTTATTTAGGTCTTCTTTAATATCTTTCAACATTGTTTTATAGTTTTAATGTATAAGTCTTTTGTCTCCTAGGTAAATTTTCCTAAGTATTTTTTTCTATTCTATTTTATTATTTTAGTTGAGCAGTCATCAACATTACAATAATTCACATATCCTTATCAAGCAAGTATTACAACAATCACAATGACTGCTGTTCTTTTTGAACATCTGCTTTATTTCTGACACTGTTCTAGAACATTTTTTAATTTGTCTCTCATCCTTACAAAACCTTCTCCGTTTTATAGATGAAAAAAATTGAGACTCAGAGATGAAATAAGTTGCAAAAAGGCCACACAGTAGATGGTAGAACCTTGCTGCTTTAGGTGTTTTGGCTCCATTACCCACAGGCTCTTGCTGTACTATTCCAGCATCTTCATCTTTCTCTACCATGTCTTCCTTGCAGGATGATATGCATCTGGTGATACGAAAGCAGCTCTCTAGCACCGTATTCAAATACAAACTCATTGGTATTATTGGTGCTGTCACCATGGCTGGCATCATGGCAGCAGACAGGTATGCATGGAAATTCTGACTTCTGTGGCTCAAGGTCAGTTAATCAGGTTGCCCCCTTACAAATAAATATTACATTGTAGATGTCATTATAATGTTAAGCTTTAAACCCAGAATAAGAGTAGTAAGCAAATGTTTGTTGCAACTTTTCCATTCTCCCTTCTAATTTTGACTGTAAATACTTCATATAATTTTTACAGAATGTGATCATAATCATTAGAGTCTGATGGTTAAAAACCGGGGATTGTTAAGAAATAAAAGAATAGAAATGTTTCCACAAAAGGGGAACAGAATATCCTGGAATGCATTTTTCTGCATTAGCACCTCTCCCAGGCACTAGAATTACAGGTTTCTCCATTACCGAGTTACCGCTGTCTGGGACATCATTCTGTTGGATACAAATAAGGTCTTCTTGTGGATTTTTTTTCCCCGTCCTTGCACTTTGATGTTACAATTGTAGCACCTAAAGGAGCATCAGAGTTGGGTCTTGATAAGATGTTGCCATTGCAAAATGACTTTGGATTTCAGTTCATGCTCCTTAGAGATAATTTGTTAGGAATTCCTGGGACCTCAGGAGACATTCTTAGAATTGACATTAGTAATTCATGGAGGCTACATAGTGTACTGGTTAAGAGTTCATTCTTTAGAGCCATCACTTGAGAGCATTAAATGCTTAGAGTGGTGCCCAGTGCTTGTTCTTAGGTTATTACTAATTTAGTGTACCCTGAAAAAAAACTAAGATCTGCATTGTTTGCTCTAATCCACATTCTGTATATAAATAGTTCTCTGTGCCTTCATGCACTTTTATCTCCACCCACATCCCAGGGATGGCAGGATTTATACACTTATTGCCAGTTCTTACAAAATATTGTAAAAGTGAAGCTAAAATTCCTTATTTTTAAAGTAGATCTTCAAATTTGACCCAAGGGAGAACAGACCTGAGCAATGAAGAGTACACACAGGTGAGTTCTTATAATGTAGTTGGATATGATTCTGAATAACTGAGGAATTGCATCTGGTCACTGTCAGTTTACCAGAAAGAGTGCTTTTTTTTTTTTTTTTTTTCCAAAATGTGTTTTCCTGAATTCATGGCTTTTGTGATTTGTACCACTCTTATGGCACCTAGAATCTGATGGCATGGGTTACATTTATTTCTGTATTTATCTAACTTTCTTAATTAAGTTGTAAATTCCTATAGAGCAAGAAAGTGAGCCATGTTCATAGAATAGCAAACAGCATAGGGACAAGTAAGTGTACAACTGGAGAATTGGAGATAAAGCTAGTTCAGAGGTAGAAAACAGAGTGCCTTCCTTGAATGTGAATCAAGATATTTTGACTTAATTTTTTACATAGCAGCAGTCTTTAAGGGTTTCTTAGCATAGACATGACATAATCAAAGCTTTGCGATAGAAAAATTAATTCAGTTTTATATTTCTAATGAATTGGAGAAGAGATATTAGAAAGAGTTGGGCTTGTCAGGAAGCTCAGGAAAACCTCAGGTGAGTGGTAGTAAGAGTTTTGCCAGTGAAATTGGAAGGAGAAACTTACTACTAAATGGGGTGAATGGTGTTTAGGAAATGTTGGCAGCCCAGTTGGCAGCCCAGTTTACTCTTTCTCTTTGGCTACTCCAGGTGACCTCCTTGCTGCAGTTGGTTCATTCCTGCAGTGAGCAGTCTCCCCAGGCCTCTGCACTTTATTATGATGAATTTGCTAATCTAATCCAAGGAGGAAAGCTGGCTCCAAAAGCCCTGGTAAGGCCCAGAATCTTTTCTTAAAGCAGTGAAGCAGGGAAAATGCTTTTTACTCCACATTCTTCAAGACCTTCTGTCTGTTACAGTGCAAAAATAGATCATCCTATGAGCTCTCCCATGTTCTAGTTGGGAAGGCTGTTCTGACTTGCCCTAACTCCAGCCTCACCACTGAGGCCTCCTTCACATAATAACAATAGTAATAGTAACAGTGAGGATGATAATAGTATTGTTGATGATGTTGATAGCCACTATGTATTCTGTGCCAGGGACTGTGTTAAGCATTTTTCACGTGTTATATGTTTTCCACTTCATAATAATGGGGCACATAATATTGTTATTCTCTTCTTAGAAATGAGGAAACTGGCGTGTCTGGGTGTCTCAGTCAGTTAAGCTTCTACCTTTGGCTCAGATCATGATCCCTGTGTCCTGGGATCAAGCCCTGCATCAGACTCTCTGCTCAGTGGGAGGAGTCTGCTTCTCCCTGTCTCCCTCCCCCTACTTGTGCTCTCCTCCTCTCTCTCTCTCTCTCTCAAATAAAATCTTTTTAAAAAAGAGAAATGAGGAAACTAAGGCTTAGAGTATTAGTTTGTCTAGGCTCTACAACAAGTACACCATGGCCTATACAGCCTTGTTTGTTTGTGCTTACTTTCTGAAGGAATGGGTTGGGCAGACCATCCTCAATGATTTCCAGGATGCCTTTGTGGTGGATTTCTGTGTTTCTCCAGAAGGGTAAGTACTGTAAACCCACTAACTTGATTGTACTGGTGAAGAAATTATGTCAGTAGTTGGTACAAACACTAGAAGACTCTTGACCTCTGCCAAGTCTTGCCCAGTCTTCTTTCTTCCCAACACCCCAGGTCCAGAATTGCTAAAAGCTTCCACGTGTTCTTTCTCTTTCTCATTTCTTCTCATAAGAGGGAAGATTGGTTTGTTCTAACGGATTCCCATGTGGACATGCATACTCTTGGGGCATCAAATTCTGGGTTCTCTCCACAGCGACTATCCATTTCCTGTGAAAGCTCTCTATGGACTAGAAGAATACAGTAGTCATGATGGGATCGTCATCAACCTCCTACCACTGATGTTCTCTCAGGACTTTGCAAAAGATGGGGGTAGAATGACTTCAAAGGAATCAGATCAAAAGTCAGTGTACTTTGTCTTTTCTGAAACTTTTGTTGTTTTGAATGTTTATGGGGTATTCCACACTTTTTGCAGTCTGTTGAGAACTTGATGGAAAAGGGTTCCTGGGGTGCCTGGGTGGCTCAGTCTGTTAAGTGTCTGCCTTCAGCTCAGGTCATGATCCCAGGGTTTAGGGATTGAGCCCTGCATGGGGCTCCCTGCTTGGCAGGGGGTCTGCTTCTCTCTCTCTCTCTCTCTCTCTCTCTCTCTCTCTCTCTCTCTCTCTCTGCTTGCCTTGCTCATATTTCTCTTTCTCTCTCTCTCTCTCTCTCATTCTCTCTCACTTTCATTCTCAAATAAATAAATAAAATCTTTAAAAAGGGGAGGGGTTTCTCCTTAGGTGGTATTTGGAGGGATTAGCAAGGATGAGGCAGATTCCTTGTTTTTTTCTTGGACCCTGTGGTTGGGGTTTGCGTTGCCTCGTTGCCTCACGAAAGCCAACAACTCTGTGAGGCTGTTTACGTATCTGTTCCTTTCTCTCTCCAATTAACATACTTGTTTGCCTTTGCCACTCTCCCTCCCTCTTTCCATCTTATTTCTGCTTCTCGTAACTCACAGATAATCACTTTATTCAGCCCCTGCCTTCTTCCACGTTAGTTCATTGTTTATTTGTTGAGCATCCATTAAATTCCTTGACATATTTCTTAAAAGTAGACATTTATTTGGGACAAAACTCTTTAATTATAAGGTTAGGCTCCCTATAAACATGTTCTAATATACTTATAAAGTATTATTTAGAAATGGATTTTTCCTTCCCAGAGTGGTGTCTCCGTTGTGCCTGGCTCCCTATTTCCGGTTACTGAGACTTTGTGTGGAGAGACAACATGATGGAAACTTGGAGGAGATTGATGGTTTATTAGGTATAGGATGAAGTTATCACATCATTTCTTCTTTGTAACCTTTCTTTGATAATCTTAAGGAAGGAACAAACCAGTACATAGTGTATGTGGGAAGGAATTTTTTTAACTTCACAGTGTAGAATAGCAGTAATAATTGAACTCCAAAGACAAAATAATATGTACAGATTTCTGTCATGTTGACAAATCAGTCATCATCATAGTTCCTCATTGCTTTCTGGCCCTCGCTTCTAGTTTTGCAAGTACTTCTTAATTATATTTAATTTTGCTACATGATATGGCAGTAATTTTGAGACTAACCAAAGCTTGACTTTCAAATACAAGTTAAAGGGGAAAGTAAGTGGAAGGAGAGGTAGGTGGCTCTAGGGGTAGCATCCAGGTTCCATTGACTTGAAATAAAGAGAGTTAAAAATGTTTGTTCTTTTCTTTCAGATTGTCCTATATTCCTCACTGACCTGGAGCCAGGAGAGAGGCTGGAGTCCATGTCTGTTAAAGAGCATTCGTTCATGTGTTCACTCATATTTCTCACTCTCAACTGGTTCCGAGAGGTAAGCAGAGTTAATAGAACATTTCACCTATTGTCTGTACTTCTTGAAACTATTTCTTGGTTCTCATGGGACTCAAAAGTCTCTACTAAGCACTAACCCTTATGTGCTTCTCCAGCTGTCATCTCCCATTTTCCCCCAGCTATATGTACGTTTTGGTGTAGTCAAATCAGAATACTTAGAATTCACCTAATGTTGTTCATACTTTACTAGTTCAAGCCTTTTTGTTGTATTTTTCCTTTTGCCTGAAATAAACTCACCTCCTCCATTGTGAAAATGTGGTTCACCCTTGCATGGGTATGTGCTTCATTATTTGATTCAGTGAGATCAAGTGAGTGATGGTTTTCCCCTTCCTTTGGAATTTTTGTGCTTAGTGAAATCCTCGATAGTGAAACATGATGAAAACAACAGTAACATCTTATATTTATATCTCACTTCCTTTCTAATGCATATTTCTATGAATGTTCACTGAAATTATCTCTTCTTATCCTCACAATTATAATGTAGGCAGGACAGGTATTATTATCCTTGTTTTACACCTATGCAGTCACAGATACAGAGAGTTCAAAGTCAGTAAAAATAATCAAGTACTTACATTGTGAAAAAACTGGGCTTTTTTTTTTTAAGATTTATTTATTCATGAGAGACACAGGGGAGTGGGGAGAGAGAGGCAGAGACACAGGCAGAGGGAGAAGCAAACTTTCTGCAAGGAGCTTGACTTGATGTGGGACTCAATCCTGGATCCTGGGATCATGCCCTGAGCCAAAGGCCGACACTCAACCACTGATCCGCCCAGGTGTCCCCTTATTTCTTTATTTACATTATTTAATCCATATAACAACTGCATTCTCATTTTATAGTTGAAGAGGTAAAAACTCAGAAAGGCTAATAATGACCTGGCTAGGGTCACACAGCTAGTAGCAGTGTAGGACTTGTTTCATCAAATTGTGTGCTCTCTAGTCACTATGCTATTCCACTTGTTACTTAATTAGAGATCAGTAGAACTAGGATTAAAAGTCAGATCTCCTGTATTGGCTCAGGGCTTTTCTTTCTTTCTTTTTTATTTTTTTAAAGATTTTATTTATTTATTCATGAGAGACACAGAGAGAGAGGCAGAGACACAGGCAAAGGGAGAAGCTGGTTCCCCTCAGGGAGTCCGATGTGGGACTTGATTCCTGAACCCCAGGATCACACCCTGAGCTGAAAGCAGAACGCAACTGCTGAGCCATACAGGCATCCCAACTCAGGGCTTTTCTATACCTCTGTAGCATCTTTCTGAGAACACCTTTACATTTATAGACTAAACTCACAGATCCTAGTGCTGAATAGCATTTTTTGGCTCTGGATAAATGATGCAAACAAGGTTAAAATTGGAACCATTCAAAGTATGAGAATACAATTTGTACTTTTCCAGGTTGTAAATGCCTTTTGCCAGCAAACATCACCTGAGATGAAGGGGAAGGTGCTCACCCGATTAAAGCATATTGTGGAGCTTCAGAGAATCCTGGAAAAGTACTTGGCAGGTAAGGAAAAGTGTCTTATTATGGTACCTTTGCTAGGATGGCAGTGAGGAGATAATTTCACTTTTAAGCCAAGCTCAATGATAGCCATCCCCTACTCATCTGGGATAAGAATAAGTATGCTCAACAAGATTTTAAAAAATGTTCCTCTTTGCTTAAGAAAATACAAAATAGTGTTGGTTGAACCTTTTATAAGGTAACTTTTCTTATTTAGATGTCAACCTTTCAGTGCCCTTTGCTTTCCTGAACATAGTTATGAACCAGGAGTAAAGCTGAAAGGTCTCTTAATACCTTCTGACCATTAAATAAACTTGTTTGAAGTGCTAGGTAGATTCTCTGGGGAAAACACAGAGCCTCTATCAGGCCCTCATTTAAGTAATTGTGTGTAAAACAAACTTCTATGTGACCAAATATTAGTATCTTTAGATTTTAGGATCCCTGGGTGGCTCAGCGGTTTAGTCCCTGCCTTTGGCCCAGGGCATGATCCTGAAGTCCCAGGATCGAGTCCCACATCAGGCTCCCTGCCTAGAGCCTGCTTCTCCCTCTGCCTGTGTCTCTGCCTCTCTCTCTCTCTCTCTTTCTCTGTCTCTCATGAATAAATAATTAAAATCTTTAAAAATAATGATGATGATGTCTTCAGATTTTAAATAAGGGTTAATTTATTTTTAGTTCTTATCTGCTTGGATATTTTATATCATTTTTTTTTAAGATTTTCTTTCATTATTTATTCATGAGAGACACAGAGAGAGAGAGAGGCAGAGACATAGGCAGAGGGAGAAGCAGGCTCCATGCAGGGAGCCTGATGTGGGACTTGATCCCAGGACTTCAGGATCACACTGTGGGCCGAAGGCAAATGTTAAACCACTGAGCCACCCAGGGATCCCCCAATATTTTATATCATTAATGTCAGATAACTTGAATGTCTCCTATAGGCATTCAGCCATACTTGGTTCTGGAAGTTGATTTTTGACCAATCAGTTGATGCATTCTAAATCTAATAGTGCTGTGTGGTTGGTATACATTGAACTTCTGTCTCCTCTCTTTTCCAGTCACCCCAGACTATGTTCCTCCCCTTGCAAATTTTGACTTGGAAACTTTAGATGTAACACCTCCTACTACTGCTGCTATTTCAGCAAAAATCAGAAAACAAGGAAAGATAGGTATGTTTTTTTCTTATTATTCTGTGTCTCTGTAGGAGCTACACTGTGTTAACCTAACCAAAGCATCAGTAACTGGAGAGATGATGTCACTGAACTCCTTCTTTGGCATCGTTATAAAATGAACTATAATGTAGAGTTATAAAATTACCTTCTCTACCCCTAGGGAGTCTTCAGGGTGTTTCCTGAAGGCAGTGATATTTAACAAACATGATTATTGATTACTTGAGTCACTTTTCTGTTTTTGAAACAAAAGGAGGAAAGAAACGGAAAGCAGATGGCAGCAAAACATCCTCCCCTGATACACTTTCAAAGGAAGATAGTTCAGAATGTGACCCTACACCGTCTAATAGAAGCCAACTGGAAAAGGTACTGGAATAATGGGTTACCATGAAGGTGTGTGACAGCCAGTAAGATTAACAGGGGTCCAGAATCATCTCTGCATTTTACAGAGAGAAAAATTAGAGAAAAGAGAGGGAATGAATTCTCGGCTCTGGGGCAGTGATCCTCCCAGTAGCAGAGTTAGGGTTAGACTCAGTCCTTATCACTAACACAGACTTTTTTCTAGTCATTTTCTTGAATGTGTCATTCCCTTTTTTATATTTCAACAGTACTTTGAATTCTTTCTTGTAGCATTTATCAGATTCTGTTTTAGGACATAGTTTTAGATGTACCTCTTTTAGCATCTTTCGCCCTCTGATCCCAGATTATCAACTTCTCAGTGAATTGAGATAACATGAAATGTTTAGGACAACTTCTGATAATTAATAAACAGTAGTTCCTTTTTCCTGTAACTACCAATCACAGAGTAGGTTACATGTTTGTGATATTGCCTAAGCCACATGGACCCTAATTATTTCTGGTTTATAGCTACTGTTTATTGTATGTTATATATAGCTCCTATAATCTTCTAAAAACCAAGGATTGATAGTAATATCTATATTTAATAGGTAAGGAAACTAAGACCCAGAAAAGGTAAGTGGCTTGCCTAAGGTCACAGAGTCAATAAGGCTTGAGCAAGGATTTGAAGTCAGACCTTTCTGGTACCAAAGCTCATCATTTTCTGTACCATGCCATAATACCTTTGTTTGTCTAGTAGTTCATTCCTAAATGGAAGCCATCCAAAGGTCTTAGTATGTGACCCATATCCCAATTTTAAATTAGGTGCTTTTGTCTCAGGAATACTTAGGGACTTTGGTGAAAGGAAGGTGGTGATTAGCTAAAAAAGTAACTTTTGCATAAAATGAATGCATAATTATAGTTTTAAATCTTCATGAAAAATTAGGCTAATATGGAAGCCTTATTTATTCTGTTGTTTGCTGCTGCTTTCTGTCCAGGAGTTCAAAGGGAAAGAAGAAAGGACATCAGTGTCACTACAGAATTACCATGCTTTTTTCCGAGAACTGGACATTGAGGTCTTCTCTATTCTGCATTGTGGGCTTGTGACCAAGTTCATCTTAGATACTGAAATGCACACTGAAGTAAGTGACAGAGCTGAGATTCTAGAATTTAATCTTGTTTCAGAAAATTTCTCAGCCCAGGGTACCTGGGTGGCACAGTTGGTTAACCATCCGAGTCTTGGTTTTAGCTTGGGTTGCAATCTGAAGGTTTTGAAATGGAGCCCTGTGTCAGACTCAGAAGTCTGCTTGGGGTTCTTTCTCCCTCTCCCCACCCCTCCCATTAATGCTTGCACATGCGTGCACACATGTGCATGCTTCTCTCTCTCTCTCTCTCTCTCTAAGTAAATCTTTTTTTCTTTTAAGATTTTATTTATTTATTCATGGGAAACACAGAGTGAGAGAGAGAGGCAGAGATATAGGCAGAGGGAAAAGCAGGTTCCATGCAGGGAGCCCGATGTGGGACTTGATCCTGGGACTCCAGGATCACACCCTGGGCTGAAGGCAGATGTTAAACCACTGAGCCACCCAGGGATCCCCCTAAGTAAATAAATCTTTAAAAAAAAATGTCAGCTCTGTTCTTATTTTAAAAAGAGCACTATGGCACTGAGAGAAGGTGGACTCTGGCTTCCAAAGGTTTTATATATAGTGAAAGTAAATGAATAATCATCCTCATAATCTTTTATTTAAGGTAAACAACCTAATTCATTAATTAGTTTATTTTTAAAGTAAGCTCTAGGCCCATTGTGGGGCTTGAACTCATGACCTTGAGATCAAGAGTCACATGCTCGAGATGCCTGGGTTGCTCAGTGGTTGAGCATCTGCCTTCGGCTCAGGACGTGATCCTGGAGTCCCGGGATCAAGTCCCATATCGGGCTCCCTGAACGGAGCCTGCTTCTTTCTCTGCCTAAGTCTCTGCCTCTCTCTGTCTCTGTGTCTCTCATGAATAAATAAATTAAATCTTTTTTTTTTTTTTTTTTTTTTTTTTTAAAGGGGGGCAGCCTGGGTGGCTTAGCAGTTTAGCACCACCTTCGGCCCAGAGCGTGATCCTGGAGACCCGGGTTCCCTGCATGGAGCCTGCTTCTCCCTCTGCCTGTCTCTCCTCTCTGCATGTTCTCATGAGTAAATAAAATTAAAAAGAAAAGAGTCACATGCTGTATCAACCCTCATCATCTTGATGTTTATAAATCTAAGCTTGTTTTTTTTTTAAGATTTTATTTATTTTTTTGAGACAGCACAAGCGGGGAAGAGGGTACAAAGGGAGAGGGAAAAGCAGGGAGTCTTGACATGGGGCTTGACCCCAGGACCCTGAGATCATGACCTGAGCCAAAGGCAGATGTTTAACCAACTGAGCCACCCCAGGTGCCCCTAAATCTAAGTTTTTTTACAATCTGTTAGACATTATGAAAGATCATGCTAATGATGTGATCCTTATCTTAGGTTACTACTAATAGGCTATTTAGATTACTCTTGCAGAGAAGCACTGTTCTGGTTTATAACGGTTAATACTGTTTTCACTGTTTAATGACGTTTGTTCAGCATTCATCAGATGCTTATCCAGGCCTTTTTTATGTGTGCCACTAATCCAGACATTGGCAATACAGTAGTGCATACAGCATGATGCTAGCTTTCATATAGCTCATAACCTAATAAAGGAAGCAGACATAACTAGCAATATGTGCTGTATTAAAGGTCTGAACCAAGTACCAGTGAAACTCTGAGGAGAGAATGGTATTTATAATGAAGTTGGAAGTAGACCACATTTTCAGAAAAGGTAACTTTTGATATGGGATTTCATGAGAGTAGTTTCTCCAGGTTAAAAAAATATAGGGGCACCTGGCTGGCTCATTTGTTAAAGCAGACAACTCTTGATCTTCTGGTTCTAAGCTCAAGCCCCCATGTTGGGCCTAGAGCTTACTTTAAAAAAAATAGTGTAGGGAGATGGGGTAACTGGATGATGGACGTTAAGGAGAGCAAGTGATGTAATGAGTGCTGGATATTATTTATATAAGACTGATGAATCACTGAATTCTACCTCTGAAACTAATAATATATATACGTTAATTAATTGAATTTAAATTTTAAAAAAATCTTGTAGAAAGAAAAATAAAATTAAAAAACTAAAAAGACAAGTATCATGGAATTTACCATAGATTTTTATAAGAATTTAAGCTCCTTCACAGTATAGACAGTATCTACCCCCCATCCAACCCCAGTTCTACATCAGCTTAGAGATTCTCCATAAATGTTCTTTTGCATGAACAGTTTGAAATGAGATTGTATTTGGCTCATTCTGCTTCTAGTAGTGTTATACCTTTATAGGGACCCAGCACAGAGTTAATAGTAGCAAAACGTTAACGGAAAGAAAATATGAAAGGATTATTTAATGAACAGAGAAAAATGAATTTCCCTTGAATTAGTAATTTTTTAACCCAGGTACTTAGGAAATGCACCTTGAGTCCACAGCTAGAAGGATAGAGAGAGACATTTACTTCTAGAGAAAAAAGTATGTCTTCTAAAACTATACTCCCTTGGATCCCTATTTTAATAATTTGAAATTCGTTTTACTTTGGGAATGCTTGACTTTTTGATTTGTTGACAGTTCAACAGCCATTTATATGAAGCGGGGAAATTTCCCCCTTTTTTTGAAACGGTCAGATTCTTTAGCCATTGGGAAGAGTAAACATGAAATGTGTTCCTCCAAAAAGATGGCTAGGACATGCTTGGAGTTATCCTTTCTTTCCTCTTTGTGACAGGCTACAGAAGTTATGCAACTCCAGCCCCCTGAGCTGCTTTTCTTGCTGGAAGATCTCTCCCAGAAACTGGAGAATATGCTGACACCTTCTGTTGCCAAGAGAATCCCCTTCCTCAAGGTTGGTATAGGCAGAAGCATAAGCCCTGGCCTTAATAAATAACTTGTCCCTTTCTCTGGCATTGTGTTGGGTCACTGGAGTAAGCATGGTGGCAGCCTCATTTCCAGAGCATACTCACTGTGCTTTAGAAAGGAACTCTGGGGCACCTGGGTGGCTAAGTTGTTGAGCGTTTGCCTTCAGCTCAGGGCCTGATCCAAGGTCTGGGGATTGAGTTCTGCATTGGGCTCCCTCTGAGGAGTCTGCTTCTCCCTCTGTGTCTCTGCCTCTCTTTCTGTATCTCTCATGAATAAATAAATAAAATCTTAAAAAGAGAGAGAGGAAGTCTGAAACAGAGAAATAAAAAAAGCCACCCCAAACAGGATATATATTTCTAAATGCCCTGAGCATTCCTAAATGCTGTTCTTTACTTGGATTTTGCTTTTATTTATTTTTTTTAATTTTTATTTATTTATGATAGTCACACACAGAGAGAAAGAGAGAGGCAGAGACACAGGCAGCGGGAGAAGCAGGCTCCATGCAGGGAGCCCGATATGGGATTCGATCCCGGGTCTCCAGGATCGCGCCCTGGGCCAAAGGCAGGTGCTAAACCGCTGCGCCACCCAGGGATCCCGGGATTTTGCTTTTAAAAGTCTGCCAGGGGTGCCTGGGTGGCTCAGGGGGTTGGGTGTCTGCCTTTGGCTCAGGTCATGATCTCGGGGTCCTGGGATTAGCCCCACATCGGGCTCCCTGCTCAAGGGGTAGTCTGCTTGTCCTTCCCCCTCTGCTCCTCTCCCTGTTCTCTCTCCTTCTTTCTCAAATAAATAAATAAAACTTAAAAAAAAAAAGCCTCCCAAGCCTAAGCCTCAGTGTAGTAGTAGTTGGCTATCTAGAGAAGGCCAGAACTTCACATGTGTCTATAATGTACAAATGTACACATAGCATCTGGTGAAGCAGTTGGATGATACTAGCAACAAAACATGAAGGTTTTAGGTGTAAACATTTAAACAATATATCCAGTTATTTGATTTTTTGTTTGTCCTCATCAGTTGCTCAATGTTCTTACCAGCCTAGATGATATCTATTTTTGTATGAGCTTTATCTCATTAGTAATTACAGGTTTGTACTTCTCACTCAAACATTGTACTCTATAAAAGCCAATCTCTTGGTGATTTGAAGATGGGACAAGATCCCTCTGTCAGAGTAGAGTTTTAGGCAAGCAACCAGCTCCTATCTTGTGATACCATTCTGACTAAACTCCTTAACAAACTCTTAGTTTCAGAGAAGCTATCCAGCAGTTTCTTCCGCAGTAACTCTGAATTTATTACAGAGTAAAGGAAACCGGAATATTGGATTCTCACATCTCCATCAGAGATCTGCCCAAGAAGTTGCTCATAGTATTGTTCAACTTCTGACTCCAATGTGTAACCATCTGGAGAACATTCACAACTATTTTCAGGTCAGCAGGCTATCTTATCATTATAGAAATTTAGAAATTACTGGGGCACCTGGGTGGCTTAGTTAAGTGTCTGACTCTTGATTTCTGATCTGGTCATGATCTTGTGGATCCTGGGGATCAGCCTGTGTAGGGCTCTGTGCTTGGCAGGAAATCTGAAGATTCTCTCCCTCTGCCCCTCCCTAGCTCGCTTGCACTTGTGCACTCTTTCTCAAATGAATAAATAAATCTTAAAAAAAATTAGAAATTACTAAGTGAACAAGATATTTCATTTTGACTGAGAAATATTGAAGGAAAATATTGAAGGAAAAATGCCAAAACAACTCTCTTAAAAACATTTTTCCTTTTCAGTGCTTAGCTGCTGAAAATCAAGGTGTAGTTGATGGCCCAAGAACAAAAGTTGAGGAGTACCACATGATGTCGTCATGCTATCAGAGGCTGCTACAGATTTTTCATGGGCTTTTTGCTTGGTGAGTAAGTGGCAGATAGTAAGTAGAAATAATCAAGTACCCTCTGTGTCTTATATGACCACTATTAACTATTTGAAAATTAGGTGAATAGATATTGGCTAACCTGTAACAGATCTGATTCTTAGCCAGCTTTGCTGGCAGCCTTTCTATAATAACATTGGAGGGACTGTTACTTAAAAAGTTGTTACTGGGGCACCTGACTGGCTCGTGGTGGAGCATGAGACTCTTGATCTCAGGGCTGTGAGTTGGAGCCCAACATTGGGTGTATTCTCTAGATTACTTCAAGATAAAATCTAGTCAGCCCAGGTGGCTCAGTGGTTTAGTGCCGCCTCCAGACCAGGACCTGATCCTAGAGACCCAAGATCAAGTTCTACGTCAGGCTCCCTGCATGGACCTCCTCCTCCCTCGGCCTGTGTCTGCTTTGTGTGTGTGTGTGTGTGTGTGTGTGTGTGTGTGTGTGTCATGAATAAATAAATAAAATCTTAAAAATCTTAAACAAGAATGTTAACTGAACAATTTGTGGATAAATTCCAGGTTATATGTTAAAGAGCTGAATATATTTTGAGCTGGGATATTTAAAGATATATTGTGGAAGCAATGGGACTTCATAGGGCCCTGACGGATAGATGGCCTTTTGGGAGGTAAAGAAAGGGGCTGGAAAAAAAGGGGGGGACTGGAAGGCACAGCATGAATGAAAGTAGAAATGAGGGAGATGTGTCCCTTAAATGCTTATGTTCCTCAAGGCTGGGCCCTGGCTCCTCCTCCTGTTATACAGGTTTTCTGGGTAATCTCACCCAAGTTTAAATTTGTGCTGAAATTTATCTTCAGAGTTACTGGCATTTATATCCAGCTGCCTACTCAGCACTTCCTTAGGTGTGTCCTTGACACTTCAGACACATCACATCCAAAATGGAATGTATCATCCTCACCGCTGCTCCTTCGGCTTTGCCAGTGGTATGTAAATGGTACCACCAGTGTCTGAGCCAGAAACCAGCAGTTCTTCTTTGTCCCTTTCTCTACCCACTACATTTTCTCTCTCCCACATCGGATCACCAAATCCTATTAATTTTATCTTTTAAATAACTTCTAAATAGCCTGTTCCTCTCCTGCTGCACTGCTTTGAGACTCCCCTCATTCCTTGCCTGGACTAGATTAGTTTTATAGTTTCCAGTTGCCCTCCCTCAGTCCTTTCTTCACACAGCAGTCAGTGGTCTTCCCAATGCAAAGTCAGTCTTATTCTATCCCAGCTTTGGTTCTAGTTGTCCTTAGATTTTTCTTGAGCTCAAACTTTTTACCTAGCTTCTAAGGCCTTTTGTTATCTCACACCTGCTCTTCCACTCATAGTCTTACATTCTACCCTCCAGCTATGTTGAATTAATTTCAGTACTCTATATTGCTTTCACTGAAAGACTTTTCACACATCTTCATTCTTCTACCTGGATCTGCTTCTTTATCACCAGTTTTTTCTAACTTATCTCTGAGAACTGGATTTAAACTTCAACTCCTCAGGAGCATCTTCTCTGACCTGTAGGACAGGTAAGCCTCCTACCTACCCCTCTAACTCCCTGTTTTCTCCTAATACTCTGATATCTTCTTACAATAAGACTTACCACATTTTATTGTAATTACTTGTTCATCTGTCTTCTTTGCTAGACCATGAGCTTCATGGGAGCTACAACCAATCATTATTGTATCCCCAGTACTTAAAAATAGTGGCTGGCAAGAGATTTGATCAGACACCTCATCAAGGAGATACAATGGCAAATAAATACATGCAAAGATGTTTAATAGTATTAGTTATTAAGGAATTCCAAGTTAAAATTACAGCATGGCTAAATCATAAAGAATTACTGACCACATTGGTGAGGACATGGGACACCTGGAACTCTCATATGCTGCTGGTGGACATGTAAAATGGTGCACACACTTTTATTTTTTGTTTTTGTTTTTAAACATTTATTTATTTATTCATGACAGACACACAGAGGCAGAAACAGGCAGAGAGAGAAGCAGACTCCATGCAGGAAGCCCCATGCGGGACTCGATTCCAAGATTCCAGGATCACGCCCGGAGCCAAAGGCAGACGCTCAACCACTGAGCCACCTAGGCATCCCGGTGCACACACTTTTGAAATGGTTTACCATTTCCTTAAGAAGTTAAACATACACTTACTGTACAACATAGCCATTCTGCTAGGTATTTACTCAAGAGAAATGAAAGCATATGTCTATACAAAATCTTATGCATGAATGTTTATAGCAGCTTTATTTGTAATAATCCCAAACTAGAAACAAATGTCTATCAACTAGTAAATGTATAAACAGATTTTCTTATGATTAAATACTATACACAGCAATATAGATGAAGAGAATTATACTGAATAGAAAGCAAGATTGTATGAGTACATAGCATTTGATTCCACTTACACAGAACTCTAAGAAAAAAACATTTAACTTCATAGTGATGAAAACAGATCAGTGGCTGCCTATCACTGGGCAGAAAGATGGAGTGAAGGATGGATTTCAAAAGAATATAAGGAAACTCCTGGGCGTAGTGGATATGTTCATTATTTCCATTGTAGTGATTATTTTGTGGGTTTATATTATGTCACCTGATCAAACTGATAAACATTTTAAATACATGCAGTTTGTATGCAGTTGTAGGTCAGTTCTATCTTAATGAAGTTGTTCCTCCCCAAAACCTGAGCTATAATAGGCCCTCAGAATACATCTATGGAAAGGCAGAACTACCACTGGTGATATGGAGATATTTCTATAGGAGTAGATAATCTAGGGGCTTAGATTGTGCCGGGCCTTGAAGGTCAGAAAAGTTTGAATGTTGTACAGAAAAGCAATTCTGGAGTTTTATAATTAGAGCCAAGGTATAATGAAATCAGTGTTTTAGGAAACTCTTTGACAACTGTGTGTAGGACAGATTGGAAAGGGATGCAAAAAGACCAGTCAAAAGGTGTCTCAATGATCTGCTTATGTGATGATGATGATAATGATAATGATAATCATAAGGGTCTGGCTTAGAATGATGGCTTGAACTTGGGAAGGAAGGGACATTAGGAACGATAATCTGAAGATAGAATGGTCGGGGTGCCTGGGTGGTTCAGTCAGTAAGTGTCTATCTGTCTTCAGCTCAGGTCCTGCTACCTGGGTCCTGGGATTGAGCCCCACATCAGGCTCCCTGCTCAGTGGGGAGTCTGCTTCTCCTTCTCCCCCTGCTCATGCACTATCTCTCTCTCTCAAATAAATAAATAAAAATCTTAAAAAAAAAAAAAAAGAATTATCAAGACTTACAGAAGAAGTAAGTTTTTACTGAGAACTTTCTATGGAATTGATACTGATTTAACAATCAACGAAATGATTTCTGTTTTTTTCTGGAGAGGAAGGCTGAGACTTCTCTAAAATGTAGCAAATAAAAGATAGTTTTTTTTTCCCTGAAAATAAACCTAGGAGGACTGTTAGGTCCTTAAAGAAACACTGTTTCAGGTGCACTTCACCTTGTAGTGTGAGTCTCAGAGCTATAACTAAATTGGGTACCTGGGTACTTACAGTGCTCTAGTTCTCCTTTTTTCTCCATTGACTTACTGATGTTATAGCCTGGAGGCCAGGATCTTCAAATGCTGTCCAAGCAATTTTCCTATAAGTAAGCTCAATCATCTTACCCTGACTTTCCCTTAGGAATGGATTTTTTCAGCTTGAAAATTATAATTTACTGTACTCAGCCCTCGAGGTCCTTACCAACCAACTGAAGCAAGGAGAGCCTGACCAGTCCTTGGACGAATTGCTCAGGTGGGTCAGACTACATATCCCAGAGTGTTGTCTCAAAAAATAAAATTAGCAAGAGGTATTGGAAATCACTTGGGTGTCTCTCTGTAGTTGTGAGGGAAATTGATGTTTTCAACTACTTTTCGTCAGTCATATGAGCTTTTTCATCTATGTATTTAGATAAATCCTGAAACATTAGAAACCATTGAACAAATCCTACTAAATCTTTGTGCATCTTGCATCCTGTAGTTGACCTTTTCAGGTAATGATGTTGAAAACACTAGTGACCTCTAGTCAACTCTTGGTTATCCAGGAACCTACTCTGTCTCTCAGTAGGGTCAGATAATTAGGTAGCAGTAGTTACCACTGATTTCCCCCCAGTCTCAAAAGATTAGCCTACGCTGAGGGCAAGGCAGTAGAAGAGGGATGTGAGGAGGAGATCTAAGAGGCATGGCTCCCAGCCTCTATCCCAGCTTCAGTCAGAGTAATTTCAACTTTCTCTCACATCCTCTACACTGTCTCTGGGTCTGCAATCAATGCTTATCATCCCTGCTTATAGGGCAAGGCTTTATTTACTTTATTTTAAATATAATGCTTTTAAATTTGTTTGACCTCCTTCCCATTATCAATAAGAAGAGTACACCCTAGTTTTATTTCAACTACAATTTTGGATTATGACTCCCTATCTCCTATTATTTCAGTGCATTGAAAGCTGACCATATATGGTACACTTATTAAATGCACTGGTTTCTCTGTCTTTATAATTTGCTTTCACTTGTCCTATAAACCTAGAATTTAAATTTTATTCTCATTTTGTTGCCTTAGGCCTTAGGAGCAAATAATTTGTCTAGGGTTGCTCATGTAAGCATGGCATGGACACCTATTTGGATATCTTGGGGTACATGATCCCTTTAAGGCCAGCATTCCAGCCCTTGGGCTCTGTTCTGCCCTGGCTTTCTTCATACAAGGGTACGGTTCTCTTTCAGGGTCTTGAAAGAAGGTGGTCACAAAAGTACCTGAAAATGTGGAGGATTCTGATTAGATCAATAAATACACAAGTGAACTTGGACAATTTGTGAATTTAGACCTGTCTCTAGTACTTATCTTTTTCTTTTCTTTCTTTTTTTTTGTTTCCTTTACAGCCAAAGCTTCAATTACTTGCAGAATTTCTCTCACAGTATTCCCAGTTTCCAGTGTGCTCTTTATCTCATCAGACTTTTGATGGTCATTTTGGAGAAATCTACAGCTCCTACTCAGAAAAAAGAAAAAATTGGTGATGGGCCCAGATCTTTTTTTCTTCATGAATTGGATTAGTAACTCAAGCTTGTTAATTTAGGGCTTCCTAATAAGACCTTTTGTATTTATATGTAAAACCCCACATAACTGTGCATGTGCCCTCTTGCCATATTAAGAAGGATATTTTCCCAGAGGGAACTATAGCTGATCTCTGCTGATACTGCTTAGTCTGAGTTTGGTTAATTCATTTGGCTAGGTAATTTTCTGTTTGGCTTCTGTTTATTCATGTCTTTTTTTTTTTTTTTATCTGAGACATTTGGCAGAGATACAAACTGCTAGATTAATAAAATGGGAGAAAGGAGAAATCAAGATTTGATTAAGTGTCAAGAAAGTCTGGGCTCCATTCTTGATCTTTATCTTTTGTCGTAGCTCTTTGAATGCAACTGACTGATTATATATTCCAATTGGCAGCACACATAGATATCAAGAAGAAAATGCAAAACAAACCTTTTATTACTTCCTGTTGATTAAAGGGGGGGGGGCGTTTGGTGTGAATCTCTAAGATGGCCATGGCTTATTTAGCCAGGAGAAGCTAGATTGGTTTTCCTACTGCCCAGCAGTGTGTGTTCAGTTCATGTTTGTGTGTATGTCAGGACAGGGTGAAATGATGGGATGCATTGGGTCTTAGACAGATGGGTTTATCTCTGGTAGAAGGACCCAATGGAGCAGGAACCCGTGGCAGCCTTTTTCAAATTGTCAGCCGAGGAACTTCAGAATAAATATTAAAAAAAATATAATCCTTTTGATCATTAGTCATCCCCCAAAAGCCTGAAAAAAAAAGAGTATAGTCAGTTTTCCATTTATGAGATGCATTTGTTTTGTTTCTTCAACAGCTTCGTTGGCCAAACAGTTCCTCTGTCGGGTGTGGCCAAGTGGGGAGAAAGAGAAGAGTAGCATTCCTACTGAACAACTCCATACTTTGCTCAGGTGAGAGGCTCAGTTTCTTTCCATGAGCCAAACAGTCCATTTTGCCACTGTTGGGATCTCTTGCCTGGCCAAAGACTGAAAAATTGCCACGGTTAGGGGGAACTTAAAAACAATGAAGTAGGTTTGAAATTAACAAAAGTTGTATCACTGTATTATACACCCGAAACTAATATATGTTAATTATGCTTGAATAGAAAAATAAAACAAGTTAATAAATGAACAGAATTTGGAACATGCGGATTGTAAGATCCTCTGGTTCTGTTTTATACTGTCAGCTAGTTCCCGACTAGCTGGAGGAAGTGGAGGAGTCTCTGGTTGTATTTTGCTTTGTTAATCAGAATTAGGTAATTATTTGTTGCCTATTATATATTTAAGACATCCATTACTTCCGAAGTGTCTAACTATATTTCCAGTTGAAACATCATTTCCTTTATCTCCTGATAATTATTTGGAATCTTCATTTTATTAAAAATAAATGTCAGTAGGGGCGCCTGGGTGGCACATTGGGTTTAGCATCTGCCTTCGGCTCAGGTCATGATCCCAGGGTCCTGGGATCAAGCCCTAAGTTGGGCTTCCTGCTCAGCTGGGAGTCTGCTTCTCCCTCTCCTGTTGCCCCTACCCCTGCTCATGTGTGCATACGTGCTCTCTCTCTCTCCCTCTTGGAGAGATGAGATCCTCTTCTCCCTCTCCATCTGCCCCTCTCCCTGCTTGCATGTGTATCCCTGCATGTGCTCTTTCTAAATAAGTAAGTAAAATCATTTTACATAAAGAAAGAAAGAAAGCTAAGTATCTGGTAAGATCTTAAAAAAGAAATTTTGATTTAGGAATTCTGTAATATGTGTTTATACTCCTATTGCTCTCAATGCAGTGTTTACCTGGAGCATACAGACAGTGTTCTGAAGGCCATAGAGGAGATTGCTGGGGTTGCTGTCCCAGAACTGATTAATTCTCCTAAAGATGCATCTTCTTCGATGTTCCCTACCCTGACAAGGTAAGAGAGTTCTCTCCTCCAGTTTTTCCCCTAATTAGAATCACACTGTCCTATGTATGTAGTTTCCAGATAAATACCTTACCTTCATTTAATTTGGATACAGATGCTAGGTACAGTCATTCATTCAACACACAGAATGTCTACTGTGCTTTCTTTCCAAGGGGCTCTCAGCCAACCCATGTAAGGAATCTTTGTAAGGAATGAATTTTCAGTAGAGTCTTCAAAGATAGTGGATATTTAGTCACCGAACATCTCACGTTAGTACTTTCATCCTTTAAAGTGAGACTATCGGGATCCCTGGATGGTGCAGCGGTTTAGCGCCTGCCTTTGGCCCAGGGCGCGATCCTGGAGACCCGGGATCGAATCCCACGTCAGGCTCCCGGTGCATGGAGCCTGCTTCTCCCTCTGCCTATGTCTCTGCCTCTCTTTCTCTCTCTCTCTCTCTGACTATCAAAAATAAAAAAATAAAAAATAAAAAAAATAAAAAATAAAGTGAGACTATCTAATATTTAACCACCTTTAGAGTAAAGTGATAGTTGTATGTGATCATGTACATCTCAGTGGTTTTTTTTCTCATACAAAGTTTATAGCACTTTCACATTCTTTATATCATTCAGTCCTTTCAGTGATTCTGTGAGATAAGTATCATTATCCATGATGTCCTAATGAGGAAAAGGAGCGTTAGAGAGGGAACCTATTCAAACTTACACAGAGAGTAAGTATGGAACTAGGAACTTGAACTCGGATCTTCTGACCACTACCTCATACTCCTTCCATGCCACCGCACCGCCTCCCTTTATAAAGTTAATTCCATTGTTTGACAGGCCATCTTCAGGGACTCCTTTGTGAATCCTTTCCTTCCCCCCCTCTTTTTTTTTTTTGTGTGTGTGTGTGTGTGTGTGTGTGTTTTGTGTGTTTTTTTTTTGTGAATCCTTTCCATTCCCCCATCCTTTTACAGTGGACCCTAGTGAAAGGCAATTCAGAGAGGTAGGGAAGGAAATGACTTTTGGTGCCTTGGCTTCTTCCTAGGAAGTTCTTTCTAACCAGTTATTGTTATGTGAGCATGCATGTTTTCCCCTCTTCTAGGCAGTCCTTTGTCATTTTCTTCCGTGTGATGATGGCTGAACTAGAGAAGACAGTAAAGGGTCTTCAGGCTGGCACAGCAGCAGACTCACAACAGGTGGGTCAGATACTCCCACCACAAGAGGTAGACCTGGTTACTAAGAAGCTGCTGCATCTTCTAGTTCTTAGGTCCAGGGTTTCTTCTAAGCTATTTCCCTTGAGTTAGAGAGATCCAGGATTCTTCTTCAAAAAGTTCCTGGCTTAATTTCCTTTCCTTCCAGTTTGAGGGAGGATTAGGCTCTTTATTCCCTGGATACTCCCTAGGGGAAGGGTCAGACTACTCTGGAAGCCCTAGCTCTGGAAAAAAATGTCTTTGGTCACAGCCTCCCATGCCTGGCAGTTTGTTGCTTATGAGCTGGGATGAGGTGAGCAGGCCTGTTTACCAGAACTGAGCCAGACTGCTGAGAGCATAGGCATCATAGAAACTACAGATTTGATCACTAGCAGCTATATTGCAGAGGCTTTTTCCTACCTGGAAGTTACTGAAAAGGAGTCTTTAGAAACTCTCTATAAAGCACCATAGGTAGGCCTCAGAACCATCTTGTGGGTGCACTAGTAACATCTCTTTGAGAGAATAATTGGCTTAAATTAATCTCTGAATAGCTGTGTAATCCAAGACCCATGGAATAGTGGAAATACAATAAGAGAAGTACTTGGCTGGTTCCAAAATGCCTGTATATTTCTTTGCCTCCAGATTCATGAAGAAAAGCTCCTCTACTGGAACATGGCTGTTCGAGACTTCAGTATCCTCATCAACCTCATAAAGGTGAGTGTGCAGGCTCCTTGACCCACCTCATTAGTTAACTACCGAAACTGAAATCAAGAAGGGTCCTGGCTTCCAAAATGGACTCTCGCTGTTTCCCCACCCTTCCTTGGGGATCTGTTATCACCTGTCTTCTTCCCTTGTCCCTCCCTACTCATCCTGAATAATCCCTTCTTTTCCCCATTGGCAACGTCTTTTTCTTTCTCTTTCTTCCTCCTTCCCTATCTGTGCTACAGTACTATTTAATAGCTCTCACCTTGTCTTGGATCCTCTGTGGCCCGAGGACACTCTCACTGTCACCTTCTTCCAACCCTGAATGCCTTCTTTATCCCTCAGACACACTCTGTGCTCTCACCCACTCCATGATTTTGCTAACCTATTCTCCCAGCTCTGAATGTCATTCTCTCTCCTTTCCACCTCTCATCCACCTTTCTTAAGGCTTCATATCAAGATTTGGACTTATACAATGCCATCTTCTTAATATCCTGAGTTAGAATCAATTTCTTTCTTTTAGCGCTTTTTTAATTTTTTAAATATTTATTTATTTATTAATTCATGAGAGACACAGAGAGAGAGAGGCAGAGACACAGGCAGAGGGAGAAGCAGGCTCTATGCAGGGAGCCCGACGTGGAACTTGATCCTGGGTCTCCAGGGTCACACCCTGGGCTGAAGGAGGTGCTAAACCACTGAGCCATCCAGGCTGCCCTAGAATCAATTTCTTAATCTTCTTTGCTTCCCTGTTCCTGTCAGTAATGGAGATGACTATTCTGTTTCATAATTAATGTAACTGTTGACATGCCTTCTTCATTTTAGAATTCTCTACAACATCCAGAGCTGTGCTTTACACAATGAGGAAGAGGCTGGGGGTGCTCAGAGGAGCAGACCTGATGGGGAAGAGGCTGGGGTGCTCAGAGGAGCAGACCTCAGCTGTGGTTTCTTATCTTTTGTGTCTCCAGGTGTTTGATAGTCGTCCTGTTCTGCATGTATGTTTGAAGGTGAGCGATTGACCTGGCCCTCGTTAGTATTTATTCTTCCTGTCGATCTCTCTAGAGATGGCCTCAGTTGAAAAGAGTTGTTTAATACTTTGCCCACAAGCCAGAGTTTTCAGAATCTGTCCTAACAGGTGGTAGTTTAGAAAAGACAGTGGATACTTTTTCCCACACTAATTGGATTACTGGAGAAGCTAATTTTCCTATAAGTTTGAAAACTTTTGGTCTGAGTCTTAGAACTAGAGGAGTGGCTTCAGGATAGCTGACTTCAGGAGCAATAGTCACTCCTTGCCATTCCTTCTCAGGCAACAGGGAAGAGGGAATGGTGGGTGATTCCTCTTTTTATTTTATTTATTTATTTTTTAAAATTTATTTATTTGAGAGAGAGCACATGCCTCTCTCAGGGTATAAGGGCACATGGACAGGAAGGGAGATCTTAAGCAGGCTCCACACCCAGCATAGAGCCCAACACAGGGCTTGATCTCATGATCCTGAGTTCATGACCTGAGCTGAAATCAATAGTTGGACACTTAACCAACTATGTCACTCTGAACTCCTCTCCCAAGGGGAGAGCCCAGATTAGCCCTAGATTTAATGATGGGTTAGGAGCTAGGAAATGTTATGAGGAAAATATGTCTTCCCCGCTCCTTATGGTTTCTTCGAAGTGGATGGCACCACATTCTTGTTATCCCCTAGATCCTCTCTTCCTCTTTACTCTGCCCTGGACCTAGGGCCGGAGATGGGTGAGTGATTTATCTGATTGGTAAATTTGGCAGATGGTTATGTGCTTCCTCAGCCCTACACAATTTTTTCCTTTTGGGAGTAAGTGGTTCTTAGGCAGCTGGGGTTCCCCCTCTGTTTTATTTGCCTTCAGTCTTACACTGGGCAAGGCCTCTGCCTATTGGCTGTGTCTAGGATAGATAAGTCTGCCTAACTCTGAGGCTTAGTTAGCAGGCCCATTTAATTTTTGCATTAAACTTACACACTCCAAATTAACCTTTTGGACTCTTCCCAGTTTATTTTTTAAAAATAAGAAAATAAAACCCCTGGGCTAGGTGATACTATGCTACCTCAGGTAGGGGCCCTTCACGTGGAAGACCTCAAGAGAGGTCATCACCATGTGTCTCTTCTCTTCTTCAGTACGGGCGCCTCTTTGTGGAAGCATTCCTGAAGCAGTGTATGCCGCTCCTAGACTTCAGTTTTAGAAAACACCGGGTAAGAACTGAGAGCACAGAAGAAAGATGTGTTCCATACAGTTACTCAGAAGATACATGCATGGTGGCTCCTGGACTGGGAATGGGGATAGTTCCTTTACCCAGGTTCTGGGCCACAGTTCTACTTGGGCTCCTTTGGTCTGCTTCAGTTTATCACCAGAGATGCCATATTGGACTGAATATTCCAAAGTAGGCTAAACTTTAGACCCACTCTGATTAAATCCACCTTTTTACTTCTACTCTAGATCTGAGGGTGGTTACTCCTTTTAGCTTGATTTTATTGTGTTACTGCACTCCCAGGACTCATGTATCAGTGTGTCATTTGCTTATTCCTTTGCACTTAGCTAGATCTACCCTCAGGAATAATAATAATCTCATTTGTGTCATAAACTCTTTGCTGTTGTAATGGATAGTCTTTTTTTTTTTTAACATGCAGACTTTTTTTTCCCTTTTTTTTTTTTTTAAAGATTTTATTCATTTGAGAGAGAGACAGAAAGTATGAGCAGGAAGAAAGGGCAGGGGGAGAGGGAGAGAGACAAGCAGACTTCCCGCTGAGTGGGGAGCCTGGTGTGGGGCTCGATCCCAGCACTCTGAGATCATGACCTGAGCCGAAGTCAGACTGAGCCACACAGGCACCCCTGTAATGGGTAGTCTTGAGAGGTTTTATTTGGCCAAGTGAGATCCAGGGTTATAGTAGTGAAATAAGGATAGTAACAAAGATAATGATTTGTTACACATATTTAGCAAGCTTGCAAGACACTCTCATAGTATTTGGTTGGTTCCTCATAACCTAGAAAGAGAAAGGGGAGGACAGCTAGTTAGCTCTGGCTTCAAGGGCCAAATTGAGATGACCAACACACAACTGGAACCTGTGTAGTTTATCCTCTTTGCAGCCCTTGGTTGCATCTAAAATGAAAGGGGAGCATTTAATATGGCATTTATGATTGTGTTGGTTGTAGGAAGATGTTCTGAGCTTACTGGAAACCTTCCAATTGAATACAAGGCTGCTTCATCACCTGTGTGGGCATTCCAAGGTAAGAAGGAAAGCAAGTCACATCATGGCATCAGGCTATCTGTTGGCTTAATCTGCAGTGTGATTGGGAGATCCACAGGCTCTAGTTCCTTCTTCCTTCTTCCTTTTTTAGCCTTCTTGAGTCTATTTTTGAAACTGTGTCTGTCCAAAGGCAGTTTAATTCATAGCGGTCAGATCCCTAGTTGCTAGTTCAAATTGGGCAGTCATGTAGAATAAGAGTTTCTGCATCTGAAGTTTGACTCAAACTCCATAGCACTCTTTCCTTTAGAAGCTTCTCTCTAGTGAGAGAGAGAGAATGTTGGTGGATGTGTTGCTGCTATAAAGTACTCTGGGTGGGAGGAATATTATGTAAGTGACAATTCTCTGCTAGAGACAAGAGGTGGTTCTAAAAGCAGCCATCTTCAGAGCTTTTCAGCTGTACTACTTACTTGTCAAGGAACACATCTGTCTCTTGTGAGAACATTTTACCATTAGGGTATTTTTCCTATAGTTGAACCATTGTCACTTTTTGTCTGAAGAAGCACAGAACCATAGAGCTCTGTAGTCATGGACAAACCAAATTCTTCTTCAGTCCAGTTCCTATTGCTTCCTCTGCTGGTCCTAACTTCAGAAGCTGCTGAACAGTGGAGTTTTAAGGACACCTGGCTAAAGAGGGGTACTCTGTTTAATATTAGCATAATACATGTTCAAGAACACTTTAGATCAATTTATTGATAATTGATCAATAAGAGATTATGAAGAAGAACCTGAGGTGTTGGTGGCATGTCTTCTAGGCTCTTTTAGCTTGAAGAAGAGCTGCCATTCTCTTCAGAGTACTCTGCCAAGCTACTGTTTAATGGAACATGTCTCTGGCCTATACTTGGAGGATTTATGCTCTTATTCAGTGTTCAAGACATCAAGAATTCAAAAGTTTCTGTATAGGAGTATGAAAGCATGATAATAAATCCAGATGAGTTGGGTGTATTTGTTTCCATCTAGATTCACCAGGACACGAAACTCACCAAACATGTGCCTTTGCTCAAAAAGACCCTGGAGCTTTTAGTTTGCAGAGTGAAAGCCATGCTTATCTTCAATAATTGCAGGGAGGCTTTCTGGCTGGGCAACCTCAAAAATCGGGACTTGCAGGTAAGCCTAGGGCCCTGCCCAAGAGAGTCTACTCCCACTCTTTGTGAAAGCATCAGAAGATATATCAAGGAGGTCAGCTAAGCCTTTTCTCCCAATAAGACTGCTTTTCTTTTCAGGCTGTGGCTATTTAGCTCTTAAAATTAGGACACATTGCTTATGGCCCTAAGTCACGGGTTCCACCCCTTAGCCAGCAAAGGCACCAAAATATGCCACTAATAACAAGGCCTCAGAGATAGAAGAGCCAGATCAATAAAACCTCTCTCCTAGCCAGAGTGGGCTTCTATAAGTACTGAGGGTAGATTCATAATAACATTTATTTATATGGACAAACTTTTTAAAAAATTATTTTGGGTCTTTTTCTAAACCACTCTGTCTTATTCCTGAAATTGTTCTCTGCCTCATTTTAACAAATAAACATTTCTAAGGTCTTTCAACTATCTGGCCAAAATCTTGTATTGCTTATAGTACTGCTTTGAGTTCTAGAAATTTTCATATAGGGTCCAAGTCCTTCTTGTTTACAATACCTGAGGAGTTTATAATCTTGTATATGAAAAGAATAGCACTGCAGAGAGTTAGTTTCTTTTTTCACATTTGCTTTATGAGATACTAAAACTTCTACAATACTATTAAACAAAATACTGTAATAAAACAATACTGTTGTTTCCATGGGAAAATAAAGCTTAGAGAGGTTAACTTACCTAAAGTCATTCAGCAATAAGTGCCAGGGTTTGAATCCAAACAGAAATGATGCAAAGCTGATGTTCTTAAACCACTTTATGTACTGTCTTTCAGTCTCTACATGGTCATTTGTAGTTGGTGTGTTGGTGGTAATATACTATAAGGTATTTGTGAAATTTCAGAACGATATTCAACATTTACTGAAAGAGTCACCAATATCCTGGCCTTGTAAAATGTAGTATGATATTAGAATACAACAATGGGCTTTTTGTAAAACTACATATTAGAGCCACACATATCTTAGAAACCTAGGGTTGATGATCACTTCTCTAGATGCTAGGTCACAGTTTGGTCTCCATGTTTGATCATGCTTGAATGGCTAGAATGTCATCTTTTCTATTGCCTATAAGCTAAGCCTTTCTCATCTTGAGACCCTAAATAAGTCATTATAACCCACCATTTGTCTTGGCCCATTCACATGTAGGGTGAAGAGATTATATCGCAGAACTCCCAGGAAAGTACCGCCGAGGAGAGTGAGGATGATACCGCATCTCAGGTCTCCAAGAGCAAAACAACAGAGGTATTTCTGCATAAGGCCCCAGAGTGTGTAGTCGACTGTTGCATTTTGTTAATTATTCTGAGTCAGTAGAAAGCACAGAACTTTTGCTACTTAGCTTTTTTTTTTTTTTTTAAGTTTATTTATTTTAGTAATCTCTACAACCAACATGGGGCTCGAACTCATGACCCCGAGATCAAGTTGCATGCTCTTCCACCTCAGCCAGCCAGGGACCCCTCCCGTTGCTTATGTTTATAATCAAAGACCTCTATGCCCATCTCTATTCTCTCAAGAAAATGTTATGTTTTTATATGAACTCTGTGGGGGCCAGAAGAGTATCTCATGTTGTGGCATGTTATAGAGTTAAGAATTCCCTTTCAAAAAAAAAAAAAGAATTCCCTTTCATTATTCATATTAAATTCATATCTGAAGGGCACCTGGGTGGCTTAATTGCTGAGCATCTGCCTTTGGCTCAGGGCATGATCCCGGGGTCCTGGGATTGAGTCTTATATCGGGCTCCCTTCAGGGAGCCTGCTTCTCCCTCTGCCTATCTCTCTGCCTCTCTTCTCTGTGTCTCTCCTGAATAAATAAATAAAATTTTTAAAAAATTCATATCTGAAACCATTTGAGAGGGGAGAAGAGGTCAAGTGTTCTCTGAATGCCGAGAAGAATGAGTTAAAACATTTAATTATGTTGCTTGAATATATAAAATAGAAATATGAAAGCAGTCGGTGAAAGCTAAAGCACAGAATCAAAAGCTTCAGTTACTAAGGACTATAGTAAGAGCAGGGGTCCTTATTCTTTTCTGGGCTACCACATATACTTTCAGGACTTTAAAGAAAGCTGAAGAAAAATGTGTATGTTTATAAAGTTTTCTTACAATTCAGGTGGGTTTTGGACACCAAGAAGCTCAGATTTCAGAGCCCCTGTTATGAAGTCTCTCTATAATGCAATTTGAGCCTAATGCAGAGAGATAATTTAGCATGAAAAAACTTTTATTTAAATAGTGTACTTCTGCCTTGTTCTCATAAAATTTTTTTGAAGCAGACGATATCCTGTTAGTTTGGTACTTTCTCCTAAGGAAACCTTCCAGATTAGACTTGAATACCAAAGAATTGTATGCTGAATTCCTATTGAAATACACCAGAATTCTTAATTTAGCAAATATTTCATTCTGTATTGAATACCTGCTTAATTCTGTGTCAAACACATGCAGTAGAGATGGAAGACCATGAGTTATTTGGTCCAGTTGCAGAATGTCGTAGGTCAGTATGACACTGGCCTCCCTCATGGTCATGATACAATGATACAATGAGTGAGTTTCAATTCCGTTTTTTTTTTTTTTTTAAGATTTTATTTATTTATTAGAGACAGAGAAAGAGGCAGAGGGAGAAGCAGGCTCCATGCAGGGAGCCCGACGTGGGACTCGATCCCAGGTCTCCAGGATCACACCCTGGGCTGAAGGCGGCGCTAAACCGCTGAGCCACCAGGGCTGCCCAATTCCGTTTTTAAATGAGCGGTTTAATGCCTATCATTGGTTTTAACAATGATACAGTACAGTTATAAATCCTGTGGGAGCAGTATTATAATTTGATGGGGTCACCCAGATGACCTAAAATATCTAATTATCCTTTGCCCCTTAGGATGCTGAAAATGATGAAGTAAGTGATGGAGAAAAGGAGCAAGATAGTGATGAGAGCGAAGACTCCGATTAGACCACAGAGAGACTGATGTCCCCTCCCCATCTCTGCTAGCCTCTTCCCATTTTGTGTTCAGGATTTGAAATCTGCTATCTGCCTTCCTTACTGGAAGCATCTTGTTTTGTCATTAGGAGGGTGGGCTTTACTGAACCAACTTAATTGTATATTTCATAGGTTATCTAATATCATCAAGACCCTAGCTCAGGGTTCCACTGTAGCATTACCTAGCAGTCTGGGCAAACATGGACTGTTGTGCTGTGAAGAGTCACGATTCTGGGCTTTGGGAGCTAGTTTTGAAACTCAGAAATTTAGGATTGTAACAGTTTTACAAATAAATTGTTTTAAGTTCTGCCTTAACCACCTCATTCCTCTTTCTGAATTTCCTTCATAAATCAAGGATTACAAGGAATTCAATTGGAGTTTATGCAGAGAGAAAATGGAAACTGGTGCCAACACATCAGTTCTACCAATTAAAATCATGTTTCCTATTCTAAGAGCCATCTCTATTTGAGATGAGAAGATCTTTGTGATATTTTTGGAAGAGTGACGAATTTCTGGTCAATGCCCAAAGAAAGTCAAAAGGAAAGTTCTGGCTGCTTTTTAAAAAACTTTTGGTCATCATGTAGATACAGGATAAAGAGGGAAAAGGTACCATCAAACTCATATTGACTTTGTATACATGTTTATTTTATTTCCACATTATTCTGAGTTATACCTATAGACTCATTATAACAATGCTACAGAATTAGTTTATTTGAAATAAAATAGTAGTACACCAGCTAAAATGAAATGAAGAGCTCTCATGTGTTGAAAGCCCAGTTTCATTGTTGCTTCTAAGTTCTTTCTTGCCAGGTTATAAATATTCCTTAATATTTGCTGATATTACTACCCACTTTTGTACTCTGCAGTGGCATTAGGATGGGGTTAAGATTTTTGTTGTTGATTTGATGGGGGGAGATTATTTTTTTAATGCTTGAGTCGTCTATAGATTTTTGACCCCCTCATTCTCATGTACATGGGAAAGCCATAATTTCCTTCCTTGACACCCATTTTCCCAACTCATTTTGGTCTTAGATGTTTAAGTGAGTTCACACTAGGCTCATTGGTTTATATGGTTTAATGGTTCTTTCTCACATGTACATGTCAACACTAGTTTGCCTCTCTTTTAAATGTTGTTCATCTTTACAATGGAAATGCTCTCCTTTGCTCTGTCCCTGGCCTTTGGGGAGGAAAGGAGGAAAGGAGTTCCTGAATTGTCATTGCTTGACAGAAAAGCAAGATGGCTCGGGTGATGTCAGTTTCCTTTACATGAACAGGTTTCTGTAAGCTTCAGGCACACAGCATAGGATGTGTTATAAGAAACGGAATCACATGGGGATCCTTTACTTGGAGTGTTGCAAGGCAAAGGTGCACTTCTTGTACGTTGCATACAGTAAAAGGATAGAGCGCAGCATCTGTTTGCACATGGTCACTGTCATCTGAATCTGAGGTTCCTTAAGTCCAGTGGGCCACTGGTTCTCCCGGCTGATGATTTTGCAAAAGGCTGATTTGTCTGAAACTCTGAAGGTCCCAGTCCATTTTGGTGGCTGAGCTGTGATGACCCTGCCAAACACAGAATCCACTCCACTGAGGCGGACAGGCTGGGGCTTCCTGACCAGCCCTTTTTTGTTGTTCATGGTTCGGAGCTCTGATGTGTGGCAGGGTAACTTGGGACTCATCCCAGGCTCCAGAAATGGGCTGTCTAAGACTAGAGTGACCTCTTGAAAACACAGCTGCACTTCAAGGTCAGAAGGGGTATGTGGGAAACAGGGGGAAGCCCTAAAGGGATGCTTTGAAGAAGGTGTAGGTGTTGTGTGCCGCAGCCATTGGAAGCTCTCGTCCAGTGGGGTCCATGGTGACCAGAGCTGGTATCCTGCCATTGACAGTCCTAAAGAAGAGGAATCAGAACATGGAATTTCCCTAGCATGGTTTTGGTGAGGGCACAGCTGTTTAAATTCACATTTATTTGTTTCATTATTGACTTTAACTTACTCTGTAGTCCTCAAAGACAGATTCCAATAGATGTTAAGGAATACTGGTAATTCTATAAAGAGCAATAGTGGATGGTAACAAGTATTGAATTTGGCAACTGCCATGTGTACTAAAACTTTATTAAATCTTATCTCAAGCCTCTGAATGGTTTTGATGTATTTCACAGGTGAGGAAATGGATTTGTCCAAAGTGGAATATCCTAATTCACTATTAGGACATATATTGTGTCAGTAACTGTGAAAGACCGAATCTATACCTCTAAGGTGGCAAAGGCTGCTCTTCATGATGAGACATTATTTGTGGTTAGAAGCTCAGAAAAGCCATGTCTTACCAAATATTTGTGACTCTAATTCCCTGTACTTTGTTTATGCCAGTGGTTCTCAAAGTGTAATCCTGGCACTAGTAGCTTCAGCATCATCTGGGAATGTGGAAATGCACATTGTTGGGCCCTACCTCACACTAAAGGATCAGAATCTGCATTTAAACAAACCCTCTGGGGGATTCTGATGCACTCACAGTCTGAGAACTTATAAGTTGTCCCTTTTAAGGAACTTAGGTTTTTGATATTAAATACGAAGACAATATCCTCTTGGCCCTAAAAACCTGTTTTCTAATACAGGAGGACAGCTCTCTCAGAGCCCTGAGCTACTTATATATACCACCTCAGAGGAATTACACCAGGCTAGAAGGAAAAAAAGAGTTTCCAAAGGACAGCGTTTAAAAATTTTTAAAGATTTTTCTGATTCTTCTAGGTGTGCTTTGTTTTGTTTTCGGTTTCTTGTGGGAGACCCAGTGGTTAAGATCTTGGATTTTTCTTCCCCTGCTTTGAAGAAAAAGCAAAGGACTGGGAAGATGTTGTTAACTAAATTATTCAAGTAGAATTTGTATTTTCCATCATTCTATTTTAAAAGTGCCAATATCTAAAAGGTTTTACTGAATTCAGAAGCTAACATTTTTTGAGCACCTACCTATTATGTTAAGGGGCATAGCAATTCCCTTTTCTTTCCAGCCAAGTGTATTTCTCTGCCCCTTCTCTCTTCTCCCACAAAAGGTAACAGCAGCAGATCTGATCCCATCCCATCCAGAATTGCCCAGGAAATGCTGTGAAAAGTTGACTCCACCATAGTTTGTGGAGACTTCACCACCTAGACTTCACCACAGTAAAGTTCATTTTTAAAAAAGAGTTGGTGACATTTCAAACCAGAAGACCTATCCTTGACAGTGTAAAGGAGATTTTGTTGATTTCTTTCTCTCCTTTGTACACTCCTTCCCATATTGTGTTCAAATATCTGGACTGCTTTATAATGAGAAATTGACACTGAAGGGATGGTTATCTATTACAAAAAGCTATGAAAGTCTTCTGATGCTTGGTATCACCCTGAGGGAACATCCAAGATGAAGGTTGCTCCGGCACACAACGCCATGGCAAAGTGGAGGGTGTTAACTCCTCAGTATAGGAACCGAAAAGATTATTTAACCCCAGGATCCTTTACCTGATTCCGCTCGTAAGAGAAAATAGGGCCAGAGGTAAAAGGCTTTTTATCAAAGGTCCCGCATTAAGTAGTGGACAGAACCAACGTGGGATGAGAGACGGCTTCTGACCCCAAATCTTTAAGCCACTTCCACCAAGGTTTATATCCAGACGACTCACCCCTCCATTCCCACCACCCGGAAATCACTGTCATCCATCCCAAGAGGGGTTGAACCTTGGAGATCTGTTCAAACTGTTTTAATAACTCCCAGATAGGGAACATCTTGTACTCTGGCCAAAACGTCTTCCCCTTCATAAGCTCCTCCCGTTCCAAGGAACCAGGTCCCTAGATTTCCCCACCTGGGAAAGGGAAAGTAATGGTCCAAATGCGCTGAGGTCTCCTGAATTGTGAACTGCGATCCTGATCCAGAGAGGCTGGAGTTGCCCGGAGTGGGGAAGCTCCCCCTCCCAGCGGGAAGAAGGGGCTTGTCCCCGGGGGGGTCCCTAACCAGGGGTGGGGGCCAGATGGCTCTGGCTGAGGCGGAGATGGCGGTGGGAGCCCGGGCCCGGTCCCACCATCCGGGCCGGGGGCTCACCTGCTGAACTCCGCGGGCCGGACGCTCCAGAGTGGCAGCCGCTGTTTCCGGGCCGCATCTTTTCTCCACCGGGCGCCTGGCAACCGCCTTTGTGACCCAGGACCGCGGGGAGAGCCCGAGCTGCCGCGGGGGTGGGGGCTCGAGGCGCCGGGTGGGCAGTCTTCAGGGCTGGATTCCCCACCCCCACCTCCTTGGAACGTCCAGTAGGACTCCGCCTTACCGAGTGCGGGTTCGAATCCCGTCCTCTCCATTCCCTCTCCTCCTCCCTACCCCGCCACACCTGTGTGCTGTTGAGCTTGTCACCGCAGGCAGGCACGCCCACGTCAAAGGGTGTGGTCAGGAACCTACACAAAAGTCCTCAGACTTGGAGTTAGTGTTTATAGTCTTGACTCTTTAAACTATGCTCAGTGGGTATTCAGGCCTTTATTCCTGCACTGGAATGATCCCAGTGCAAGGAGACTGTAAGTGCTCGCCTCTCAAGAGCAAGAAGTGTACCTTGACTAACCAAAAATCTTCCTCTGCCTTTTCTTAAACCTCAAAAAAGATAATGCTGTCCTCTTTTCACAAAGCTGAAAAACTGACCGTTTCATCATAGGTAAACAGTGATTTGACAACCTGATATGCAAACAATTTCCCTGGAAGGCCAAGGAAGAGAGGTTTCCCAATGGACTCCTCTATCCCGTGTGCCTGGCTATCCTAGAGCCTGGCACTAGGAAGTATTTGTGGCAAGAATTAACTAATGGCCCCACCTTCCTTTACCTTGTATACCCAGAAATTGCCCTTGCACTTTGCCAACTGTAGAGCATAGCACAAATAAGAGCTGTCCACCTTTTGTCTGGCTCTTTGGGTGAAGTTGAAGTGGAGAGATTGTACCATGCGGGTAGAGTCAGACTAAAGATTTTGATTTGGAAGACCAGATGGTCCAGAGGGACTTGTCAAGAATTGTCAGATGCTGGGGGGCGGGGGGGATGTGAGGCGCACCCTTGAAAGGAAAAGAGAGGTGGAGATAGTTTGGAAGTGAAGTCAGAAAATGGAGAGAGAAGCAGAGAGTAATGAGTCTTGCAAGACACTAAAATGATTTGAATTGCAAAACTTTTGTTTTCTACTAAGTTTAATTTTCATCTCAAAAGAGACCGATTTTTAACATAAAAAAAAATCTTTTATTTATTCATGAGAGACACAGAAAGAGAGAGGCAGAGACACAAGCAGAGGGAGAAGCAGGCTCCATGCAGCCCGATGTGGGACTCGATCCCAGAACTCCAGGATCACATCCCGAGCCAAAGGCAGATGCACTTAACCGCTGAGCCACCCAGGTGTCCCTCAAATAAGAGACAGTTATTTTTTTACAGACAGAGAGAGAGAGAGGCAGAGACACAGGCAGAGGGAGAAGCAGGCTCCATGCAGGGAGCCCAATGTGGGACTCGATCCTGGGTCTCCAGGATCACTCCCAGGGTTGAAGGTGGTGCTAAACCGCTGAGCCACCCAGGCTGCCCTGTTATTCCTTAAAAAAAAAAAACTGGGAATCCCTGGGTGGCTCAGCGGTTTAGCGCCTGCCTTTGGTCCAGGGCGCGATCCTGGAGTCCTGGGCTCGAGTCCCACATGGGGCTCCCAGCATGGAGCCTGCTTCTCCCTCCTCCTGTGTCTCTGCCTCTCTCTCTCTCTCTCTCTCTCCCCCCCTAAATAAATAAATAAATAAATCTTTAAAAAATAAAAATAAGTTGATTTAAAAAAAACTTATTTATTTATTCATGAGAGACACAGAGAAAGGCACAGACACAGGCAGAGGAAGAAGCAAGCTCCCTGCAGGGAGCCTGATGTGGGGACTGGATCCTCGGATCCTGAAGCAGGATCCTGGCCTGAGTGCAAAGCAGATGCTCAACCGCTGAGCCACCCAGGTGTCCCCATATTGTTATTCCTGTATTACACATGAAGAAACAAAAGCTCAGAGGGATGAAGTGACTCCTCTTTGGTAGATTTGTGATTTGAAACTGAGATGCCATGCCTTTAAAGGAAAATCTGATCTATCCGATTTCTCTGTGACATGTGAGAAATATAACTACAACAGTATTACTCAGGAAGCGAAGTCTTGAGTGTCAGTTATACTTCTGGATGCCAGGGGTTTAATAGTTAGGGATGCTTATTATTTAAGTAACCATTTCTATGAATACATAAGAGAGCTCAGAAAGGCCTTAGCCTGTTTTCAGAGTGATATGAGAAAATATTGGAGTCTGGAATCAACTGGTGAAGGTTCACCACTTAATTGTCTATGTGACCTTGAACTTCAGTTTTCTCATCTGTAAAATGAGAAGCCTCTTCCTGATTTCCTTCCACAGGGTTTGTGAGGGTCCAGTGAGGTAATAGCTATAAAAGCAGCTTTATAGCTTATAAAAACTTGTACCTAAGTAAAGGACTGTTAGTAACGATTTCTTCCCAGCTACTGCTAGAAGTAATCTGATCAAAAATTTTTTTTCAAATAAAAGGCACGTATTGCACAAAGCAGATGGTAAATATTCCCTTAAACAAAAATAAAATTGTCCATAATTCCACTACCTTAACAAACCAGACATTGGCATCTTTCATGTATCCTTCTTGTCCTCAAGCAGACATAATTTTTTTATACAGTTGCAATTAAAGACAATTTTGTATTTCATTTCCCCTTCAATTTATCATGTATGTTGCCATAGTGCCCAGAATTACTATTTAAATACATCATATTGCCATAGGTAGCTATATTATTGTTTTTTTTTTTTTTAAAGATTGTATTTATTTATTCATGAGAGGCACACACAGAGAGAGGGGCAGAGACACAGGCAGAGGGAGAAGCAGGCTCCATGCAGGGAGCCCGACGTGAGACTCGATCCCAGGACCTCGGATCAGGGCCTGAGTCTAAGGCAGACGCTCAACCACTGAGCCACTCAGGCGTCCCGGTTTTTTTTTTTTTTTTTTTTTTTTTAAATAACATTACAAAGGGCACCTTTGTGCTTAAAGTGACTTTTTTTTTTTCTTTTTCAATGATTTTTCTCAATGAAATAATCAGGTCAAAAAAGTTCGAATTTTTTTTGACAGCTCTTGCTATCAATTTACAGATTGCCTTCAGGAGTTGTGCCAGTTTACAGTGTGACCAGCTATTTAGGAGCCTATCAATTTCCCCTCGGCCTCTCCATCACTGGGTGCCATTGTTTAAACAAACAAAAAAAAAAGTTTTGTTCATTGGATGGGTCCAAGGTGGGGAATCATGTTGTGCTGCTGAAAGCCATTTTTCAAGTGAGTCGTACTTAATGCGTCTTAATTGGCTACGCCCAACTTGGTTTGGAGCAACTGACCGAGCGAGGGTCTCGCGGTCCCGCGCCCGCTAACGACCCGAACGGCCGGCGACCGGGTCTGCGGTGGGCAGGAGAGGCGCGGCGGCGCGTGCGCACTCCACCCTCCCCGGCCGCGTTCCGGCGACTTTTTTCAGGGGCGTGGGAGCAGAGAGAAAGCGCACGCGAGGACTGGACATCGCGCAGGCGCATCACAAGGCCCGTGGATTCGTGGGTGCCAAGGGATGGGCGTGGGCTGGCGGCGCAGGCGCCCTGGCGGCCTGGAGGGTCGCGGCGCCTGCGCAGTGGCTCTCTTCAAGCGGCAGCCATGGCGGGCCAAGAGGATCCGGTGCAGCGGGAGATTCACCAGGACTGGGCGAACCGGGAATACATTGAGGTCATCACCAGCAGCATCAAGAAGATCGCGGACTTTCTCAACTCATTCGGTCAGCGGGCGAGCAGGGGGCCGCGGGGGTTGGGTAGGAGGCCGCTCGGGCAGTTTGGCGAAGGCGCTGAGAAGCCTCGAAGGGGCTTGCCCCGGGAGCCCTGGGCGCTTGCTGGTTTTCGCGTCCTTTGGAGCCCACCTTGCCCGTCTCGCCCGGATCCTTAGGCCTCTCCGGGCAGTCCCTGTAGGGTTACCCTGCGCCGGGCTGAGCTCCTCGGCTTCATTGCCGTCACCACCAGATCCATTAGCAAGCCTTGCCTTCTTCCCGACTCTGTAGAGGCAGCTGCATCCACAGTCTCGTCTTCGGTGGCCTCCCTGCTTCCTTTGTGGCCCGCTTCCCTTCCAGTTCCCGCTTTGCACTTAGGGCGCGTCAGTCAGAACGCAGCCAGAGCCGTGTCGCTGCCCTCGTGTGAGTTTCTTGAGGCTTCCGCATCATTGTCAGGATCTCTTTAGCGCCATACCGTTGAGTCGCCTCTCCCTGCCTTCCGGTTTTGCTGCGCCGAGAGTGGTGGGAGACGAGGCCAGATGTAAGGTCACGGAGAACTCTGTATTGCTGCTACTAGCCAACAGTAGGTATTGCTTCTGCTTCTAGCAAAATCTTTCCTAGGCATGGCGCGCTTGTGACAGATTCTTTCTGTTTTGTTCGTATCCTTCTGGACAGCAAACCTGTAACAGACTCCCTCCCATCTCATGTTTCCAAGTGTTTCCTTAACAGAACTGGGCACTGGGTAGACTTAAGTAATCACAAGGTGTAAGGATGACATCTAGTGATCTTTTTCCAACTAGTGTGCTTCTGTTCCACTAATTCAGCAACAAGCAATGAAGATTAAGTAGGGGAAACCGATGTATTAAAAAAAAAAAAGATTTTAAATGAATTAATTATTTTCCAGCTGGAGAACTGATGCATCCTGAGGAGTAAGGTAATAGAGCATGAATTTTCTTAGAAAGCATCAGCAAGAGAAACCAGATCTCGGTAGAAAGCGCTCTCGGGTACTCTGGAGGACACAGAATAAGAATCATTTCCTGCTTTCAAGGAATTTCTGTCTTGCAAATGAAATAATGACAGTTTCAGAACATCGGTTTTGTATTAATATATATCCTTATAAAGTGTGTAGGACTATAATTTTGATGAGTCTTAGTATGATGGATTTTTCTCACCAGGGAATGACTGAGGGTAGTTACTGAAAAGAATAGTATAGAGTCATATGAAAGAAAAGTATAGAGACGCCTGGATGGCTCAGCGGTTGAGCATCTCCCTTCCGCTCAGGGTGTGATCCCAGGATCCAGGATGGAGCCCCATATCAGGCTTCTTGCATGGAGCCTGCTTCTCCCTCTACCTGTGTCTCTGCCTCTCTCTGTGTCTCATGAATAAATAAATGAAATCTTAAAAGAAAAAGAAAGAAAGAATAGTATAAGTATGTCATTGATACATGTTCACACACATAATTTGGTATAGAGGTTGTAGTAGGGAATGGTAGTCAACATAGATCTCGTATATCCTGACATCTTTTAAGGACTATGAGAAAAGGAGTATGGTTTAGTGAAAAAGATACATGGATTTTGGAGATAGACTCAAGTTCAGAGGCTAGATTAATTGATTTGAGTGAACTGAGACTATTTACCCTACTATTCAGATAGTCTGGGTTTCTTTCCTCAGTTTTTTTCTTTTTTCCTAAATTCTATGCAAACTCTTTCAATACTAGTTTTCATAATTGGTTTCTCCTACTTTTCCTGGAGAGCTGAACTATTATTGGAGGTTGTTCACAGCATTACGTACTCATAACATTCCTTCAGACAAAGGACCATGGAAGAGAAACCAAAATATTTCATGGTAGTAGAAGGATGGAATGGTGCTTCTTCCAGAAGGAGGATCCTTCCAGAAGGATCTTCTAGGAGAAGATCACGGCTTGAGATTTGGCTTAGTTAGGAGAGGCAGTGGAAAGTAGATGGAAAAATCACTGACATGGAGAGTTTTAACCTTAAAAAGCAGAATTAAAAGATTTCACCTATCTGGTAAGATCTGATCTATACACACAGATTATCTAAGCAAAGTATTAAGAACATCAACTAAATCAAAAAAGCATCTAAAATAACAAGTCATAGGGCGCCTGGGTGAGTTAGTTAAGCTTCCAGTTTCGGCTCTGGTAGTGATCTCCGTGTCATGAGATGGAGCCCCAATTTGGAGTCCCTGCTCAGTGCACAGTCTGCTTAAGATTTCTCTCCCTCTCCCTTTCCCTCTACCCCACCCACTCAGGCGCATGCCTTTTCTTTCTCTCTCTCTCTCTCTCTCTCTCTCTCTCTCTCTCTCTCTCATAAATGAATAAATTTTTTAAAAAGTAAATTAAGCTGGGGCTGTTTTTCAAAATTTAAAAATGATCTAGCACAAGTCCCCCGAATTTGGATCTGGTTAATGTAATAACTTAATTTCTGAGCACTGAGTTGTATTAATGAACTTTCTTTTTTAAAGGATTTATTTATTTTAGAGAGCGAGCTTGAGTGAGGGTGGAGTAGAGGGAGTCTTTTTTTTTTTTTTTTTTTAGATTTTATTTATTCATGAGAGACACAGAGACACAGGCAAAGGGAGAGAAGCAGGCTCCATGCAGGGAGCCTGACATGGGACTCAATCCTGGGTCTCCAGGATCACGCCCTGGGCTGAAGGCGGCGCTAAACTGCTGAGCCACCCAGGCTGTCCCGAGGAAGAGATAGTCTTAAGTAGACTCTGCTGAGCTGGAAGCCCAAAATGGGGCTCTGTCTCAGGATCCTGAGATCATGACCTAAGCTGAAATTAGGATTTTTTTTTTTTTTTTTTTTTTTTATTTATTCATTAGAGACAGAGAGAGGCAGAGACACAGGCAGAGGGAGAAGCAGGCTCCACGCAGGGAACCTGATGCGGGACTCGATCCCGGAACTCCGGGATCACACCCCGAGCCAAAAGGCAGACACCCAACTGCTGAACCACTCAGGCGTCCCCTGAAATTAGGATTTGCACCACGCAGGTGCCCCTGTATTAATAAACTTGTAAATCACATACATTTATCTTTGACATAAATCTTCGTAATTTATGGTCTACAGTACTAGATTTATAGTGGATGAGTCTCGGAACTGACCAAAAATTGAAGAGTTTGAGATTAGGATTTGCAAAAGAGAAATGTCTCTTGTATTGCTTTATAAGCAAGGAAATCCCTGCACTGAAATTTTATCAAATGTGTGAGTCACATTTTATGGTCAAATAGAGAATAAAGACTTTTCTTTTTGAGATTTCCAACATGTCCTAGGCTGAGGAAGTATACACACAAAATTCCAATCTTAAGGAGCCAGAAGAACTAGTTAGCGTAGGCCATTATTCTCCCTTAAAGTGATGCTAATGGTCTAATGTTGGGAGTGATTGCTAGATGGTTTTTGAAGATGTTAGATAATTAATTTAGTCCTTTTATTTATTTATTTATTTTTTAATTTAGTCCTTTTAAAGGAAAGGACAATTATTACGATTAAGAATGGAATTAAAGGGATCCCTGGGTGGCGCAGCGGTTTGGCGCCTGCCTTTGGCCCAGGGCGCGATCCTGGAGACCCGGGATCGAGTCCCACGTCGGGCTCCCGGTGCATGGAGCCTGCTTCTCCCTCTGCCTGTGTCTCTGCCTCTCTCTCTCTCTCTCTGTGTGTGTGTGACTATCATAAATAAGTAAAAATTAAAAAAATCTTTAAAAAAAAAAAAGAATGGAATTAAAAAGCAAGGTTAGAAGCTAAAGCGATGTAACTCATCAGTCAGGTATACCTGAGGCAAGTTCTTGAAGATTGACATTATCACTGATATGAGTTTAGACAAGGACCAACAGGCTGAGAAACTTGAACAATCATGAAACACTTGAGACATTGTCTCGGCATTGAATGACTCAGGGTGAGCATGGGGCGGGGGGGAGATAACATTTTCCCACTCCAGGCCCTTTGTGTGACCCCTCAGTTCTGATGTGTATGTGTAAGGCTTAGACTGAGTTTGTGATACTATGATTTGGTGGTTCAGAGTTTTTTTGTTTTTGTTTTTGTTTTTTAAAGATTTTATTTATTTATTCATGAGAGATACAGAGAAAGAGAGGCAGAGACATAGGCAGAGGGAGAAACAGGCTCCATGCAGGGAGCCCGACATGGGACTTTTTTTTTTTTTTTTTTCCCTCTCCCCCTGCCGACCTGGGACTTGATCAGGGACTCCGGGATTATGCCCTGAGCTGGCAGATGCTCAACTGCTGAGCCACCCAAGCGTCCTGGTTCAGAGGTTTAATAGGAATATACTTTGAGGGAAGTCTTTGAAAATGGCAACAATTCAGGGCTCCTGGTGCTCAGTCAGTTAAGCATCTGCCTTCAGCTCAGGTCATGATCTTGGAGCCCTGCATTGGGCTCCCTGCTCAGTGGGGAGTCTGCTTCTCCCTCTGCCTCTGCCCTCCACTCATACTCTCTCTCTCTCTCAAATAAATAAATAAAATCTTAAAAAAATAAAATAAAATGGCAGCAATCCTACAGTTCTCACCCTGAACACAAGGAGTCTTGTAAGCCATGTGGTTTGGAGAGGGAATAGTTTTTCCAAGCTAGCTAGTGACTTTCTGAACAGCTTTTACTCTGTGATTCCTTCCAACTGATGGGAGTAATTATATTGGTGGACCACTTGAACCTGAGGCTCCACAAATCATGAGGCAGTGATGACATCCTAACACTGGCCTGTTCTGTACCTTGAGTTGTGAAGTTTCTAAAAATAGATTGTCACAGATGATAGCGTTTTATTTTTGTACTGTTGTACCTGATTCTAAACCTGATATGCACAAAGAAGTGTAACAAAAATAATAAATGTGGTTTTATTTATTTATTTATTTATTTATTTATTTATTTATTTATTTATTTTTTAAGATTTTATTTATTTATTCATGAGAGTTAGAGAGAGAGAGGCAGAGACACAGGCAGAGGGAGAAGCAGACTCCATGCAGGAAGCCCGATGTGGGACTTGATCCCAGGTCTCCAGGATCAGGCCCTGGGCTGAAGGCAGGCGCTAAACCGGTGAGCCACCCAGGGATCCCAATGTGGTTATTTTTAAATGTCAGTTTTATACTTAGCCAACAAGTATAGCATGCCTGTTATGATCCCAGCTATGTGTCACGTCCTCTGAAAAAGAAATAAATAAAGATAAATGGACATGGTAGCCACTCCTGAGAAATTTAGAATGCTGTCAGAGAAGCAAGCCTTAACAGCAACAATTCAAGAGAATGACAGTATTGATTTTTGTAGGCTAAGGTTATGTGCACTAGGAGTTCAGAGGAGCTGATAACTGGCATTTGTCAGCAGTGGTAATGGATACACCATCAAAGCACCCTGACAAGAATGACTAGTTATCTTCATTTAAAGTCTAAAGATAATATACTCCTAAATGCACTCTGGTTTGATTTGTTCAGTTGCTGAATGCCTTCGAAGTGTTTTGCTTGAATTAGTATGTATTTCTTGGGATCTGAAATATGATCAAAATTTCTGGAGTTTAACATTTTATATTTCCCAACAGTGCTTATCCATTTAGGCCAGGAATGTAGTGTTGTTCTTGGATTCTGATTCACAGCCAGATCGACAGAGCTAGAACAGAACAGCCATCCAGGAAGGAACCCTCCTTCTCACCACCCCACCCCTGCAGATAATTCTGGCATGTCTCTTTTTATGGGAAATGACAGGTTGTTAGTGATAACATTCATGCTCTTACTGAATAGCATACATGATGTGCCTCTGAGCTTCTTTCTTTTTTTAATTTTTATTTATTTATGATAGTCACAGAGAGAGAGAGAGAGGCAGAGACACAGGCAGAGGGAGAAGCAGGCTCCATGCACCGGGAGCCCGACGTGGGATTCGATCCCGGGTCTCCAGGATCGCGCCCTGGGCCAAAGGCAGGCGCCAAACCGCTGCACCACCCAGGGATCCCTGCCTCTGAGCTTCTAAAAACCAGATTGAGAGAGACTTGATCCTGTTGGGCATTCCTGGCAGTGGTAGTGTATCTAGGAAAAGGAGGGTGCTGAGGTCCTTTTTTTTTTTTTTTTTTCTTTACGATAGTCACAGAGAGAGAGAGAGAGAGGCAGAGACACAGGCAGAGGGAGAAGCAGGCTCCATGCACCGGGAGCCCGACGTGGGATTCGATCCCGGGTCTCCAGGATCGCGCCCTGGGCCAAAGGCAGGCGCTAAACCGCTGCACCACCCAGGGATCCCTGAGGTCCTTATACTCAAGCTAGATCTAAGAAAGAGAAGAAGCAGCACTAGCAGGCAAACAACATAATTTTTTTTAAAATATTTTTTTTCTTTATTTATTTATAATAGTCACACACACACAGAGAGAGAGGCAGAGACACAGGCAGAGGGAGAAGCAGGCTCTGCACCGGGATCCCGACGTGGGATTCAATCCCGGGTCTCCAGGATCGTGCCCTGGGCCAAAGGCAGGCGCCAAACCACTGCGCCACCCAGGGATCCCCCAAACAACATAATTTAAATGAATAACAAAGAATATCCAGAACTGGTGAATCTATAGGGACAGAAAGATTAATGTTTACCAGGGGTTGGGGTGAGACTGAATGGAGAATGACTGACTGCTAACTGGTACAAGTTTCATGCAGGGATTATGAGGATGTCCTAAAATTAGATGATGGTGATGGTTGCACAACTTTGTTCTAAAAACCATTGAATTGGGATGCCCTGGGTGGTCAGTGGTTGAGTGTCTGCCTTCCACTCAGGGCATGATCCCGGGTCTAGGGCTCAAGTCCAACATCGGGCTCCCTGTGAGGAGCCTGCTTCTCCCTCTGTCTATGTCTCTGCCTCTCTCTCTCTCTGTGTGTCTCTCATGATTAAGGAATAAAATCTTTAAAAATAAAAAAAATTTAAAAAAACTCATTGAATTGTAAACCTCAAGTAATATGAACTTCATGCCATATAAATTATATACCAATAAAGCTATTTTTAAAAAAAGAGACAAATAGCAGTGAAGATGGGTGAGTGGGAAAGGATCTAGTATGGAAACAAAAAGCAAAAAAGGAACCAGAAAGTGGAAGAGTCGGGCTATAGGCAGATTTTAAGAGAGGTGGGGGATAAATTACAACCCCAGGGGTTCATAAAGATGGTATCAGGCAGGGTGTGTGGTGGGAGAGTACCATCCTGGGCAGTAAGGAAACTAGACTCCAAACTCAGCTGTGCTATTGTTTTGTCCCAGCAGTTATCCAAGATGGGCCTTAGTTTCCCCACTATAGAATTAGTGGAATCACACTGGAGCCAATCTTTTGTTCCACTAACATAGCAGAATCCATAATTGTTTTCTCAAAAACATTTCTGTGCCAGGCAAGATACTCGTTACAAAAATTAGTAAGAGGCAGTTCTAGTGGGATAACAAACATGTAAATAAATGATAAATTACAAATACATAGATATCATTTGGCTAGGTAGCGTAAACAATTTCTTAAGTCATTAAATATTCAAACTTGTAATAATGAGTTGTTGAAAAGATGCCTTAGTTTTTGTTTTTTTAGTGACTCGTTAAAAAGATGCAAACGTGTAATTTTTAATGGCCATTTTAATAGTCTTTCATAATTCTATCTATCTGGCAGAGACGTCTCAGAGACCCAATTTGAACTGAGCCTTGAAGGAGAATGTTTAGACCGGCAAGATGAGTTAGATGTAGATGTGGACAAGTGAAAGTTGAGGCAAGAGCCGGTGTAGGAGGATTTGTCAAAATGGATGTGGACATGCTTTTACATAACAGGAAAGAGATGAAAAGGAAGTGTGAGCTAAGTGTTAAATCATTGTAAATGGAAGAGTGTCTCAGAGAGAGGGTATTTTAGACTTAAAAAATGAAAATTATTGAGGATGACCGAAAATTATTGATGATGTTGGAGGAGGTAATAGGAGAGAATTAGCTTATCTGGAAACCTTTTTCTCCTGTTGAGAATGGTTGGGGAAAGAGTAGTCAAGTGGTTTCTCTTAGAGAAGTTGGCAGAGGAAAAGGTATTTTAGGGGAAATCTAGGTATCATTTTGGATAAGATGGTGAAAGATGATTGGACAGGGCAAAGGAAGAAAAGGGATTTTGCCGTTTTCCACAGATGGACTGTGGGCTCCAACGAGTATTTTGATGTTCTCCCAAGTTTCCTCTTCTGCTGAAATGCCTGTGCAGATATTGGTGACGTTTTTAAGTACTTTCCAAGAGCAAAAGCAGTGAGGCTTCCATGAGCTCAGAAACATGGGCGCCTTTGCTCCTCTCCATCGTCACTGCTGCTTTCATGGCCTCTGTTTTTCTTCTCTCTTGAGATTATTTTCTTCCTGTCCCTTCCCCTCTCTTGGAACTCTTAGCTTGTGTATTAGCAAATAGTAGTTGTAGAGTTTTGGCGTGTTTTCTATTGCTGCCATAACAAGTTTACCATAAATGGAGCTGTTTTTATCACAAAAGTTTACTATTTTACAATTGTGTACGGTGGAATTCCAACATCACTTCACGGGGCTAAAATCAAGATGTCAGCAGAGCTGCCTTCCTTTCTGGAGACTCTAGGAAAGGATCTGTTTCCTTGCTCATTGGGTTGGTGGCAGAATTCAGGTTCTTGTGGTTGTAGGACTGAGATCTCTGTTTCTTTGCTGATAACACCTGAGGGCCCTTTCCAGCTTCTCACGTCTCTGGCATCCTTTGGCTCATGGCCTTCTTCCTCCACCTTTCCTGGTTTATCTCTACTTTTGTTTATAGATTTGTGATTAGATCCTGTTGATCTGGATAATCCAGGATCTCAAGGTCCTTAACTGTAATCACATCTGCAAAGTCCCTTTTGTCATGTAAGAAACATACTCACTCGGGGATTAGGGCACGGACATCTTTGGGGGTGCTTATTCTCTGCCTACCACCCTTGGTAGGAAGTTCAGCAGATCTATTCTAAGCTCCTAATACAATTCTTACCTCTTCTCCATTCCCCTGCTTTGCTCACCTGCTCCCATTTATGCTATGTGTGATGTATCATTTCTCTTCAGCTAGGGGCCGTGTGTGTGTGTGTGTGTGTGTGTGTGTGTGTGTATTTGGAATGACGTAAATCCTGAACATCAGTCTCCTTTTACCAGATATGTCTTGTCGTTCAAGACTTGCAACACTAAACGAGAAATTGACAGCCCTCGAGCGGAGAATAGAGTACATTGAAGCACGGGTGAGTATGTCGGAGAAGCCTCGTGAGGCTAGGCAAGGGCTGTGCAGAGAGAATGTGCGTTTCCACTTGTTGCTGAAATAAACCTGGAAGCGGTAACAGGCATGGAGAAGTTAATGGGTTTGAACCAGGTTTCTGGGACTCCAAAACTGTTGTCTTTTCTAACACTCCCTACTACCTAGGATCTATAAAAAGATTTTTTTAAAAATGCTTTTGAATTTATCTAATTGTCAATTTCCTTTGACAGGTGACAAAAGGTGAGACCCTCACCTAGAACTATGCCATGCTGCTGCTGGGAAGTTGCTTTATGGAACACAGGCGACGTGGGAAAGGCCCCAGCAGCCTCAGCTCCTTCCTCTCTTCTTAAAGAGCAACAGGGCTTATTCTTGTTTTTCTTTTTTCAAAAGTGTGGCCTTTGGGCTCTGCCATGTACATCGACGTGTGATGTGGCATGTGGGAAGAAGTCCAGGGGAACTCTTGGAACCAACATTAGGCATTTTACCTTTTAAGTAACGTTTTGTAGAACTGTTCATCAGTGTATTTGAAGCGCTCAGAGCCAGATGCCTGGGACTCTTTGTTAAGGTCCTCTCCATCTCTCTCTCTCACACTTTCCATACAGGTCTCATTGCCTCTGCATTGCTTCTATAAACAGTCTTTGTCTCCTTTCCACCTTTGGCGCGGGGGGTGGGAGGCAGTCCTGGCTGAGACACTTACGCCCCGGCAAGGTGGCCATCAGAGAATGTCGTTGCTAACCTACCAGTTTCTTGTCCTTTGGGGGAGGTCAAGGCCAGGCCTCCACTTGGCTTGAAGGGTCATTTTCAGAATTTTCTTTCTGTCACTTGGGGTATCTTTGCCTCTCATATTTCCCTAATAAACTCCTCAACTTTATCTGAGTGCTGTGATTATGGTGGGGAGAGGAGCTAGAGATGGGGCTCACCCATTCCACAGAAATCTGATGTGTGGGATGAGTATTCTAACATAAAACTTTCAGATGTATCTCTTTGATCAAAGCCCAGATCAAGCTTACCAGCTGGAGCCCTCCCCCCCACATTAGCACTTTGAGCTGACTAATAATTCATCTTGGGAATCATCTGGTCATTCAGCAGATGTTTATCAGGTGCTTACTATATAGGCTCTAATAAAAGATAGGCATTGAGTTAGGTGCGAAGCTTCCAGTCTATTGAAATACCAGCATCCACACAATTTAACTGCAACCTAGGGCAGCCTGTGAGTTTTATCTGGTAAAAGCTAAATGTTTATTTCTTTTGAAAAAGCAAATAGTTTAAACAGAAGAGTCTAAAACTTTTCACTCTAGCATCTAAAGCTTGCTATAAACTTATGCCACCCTACTTTTAAAGGTTTATTTCTTATATAGAATCTCCATTTTAGTCATGTAGAAGTAGTCATACTCCATGCACACAAATTTCCCCTGTTCAAGTCATATTTGCTGTTCTAAGGCTAACTCAAGTCAAACCTCTTCCAGAAAGATCTCCTGGACTCGACTCTTTCATTCAGTACTGCCCTTTCCCTTTTCTGAGTCCCTCCCGTCCCACCCTGTCATGCTGACACTGCACTTGAACTCTGAATGTTCCCTGATGTAGTGCCTGGTACTACATGGGATAGCCAACATGTGCCCCTTGCCCTGTACTGTCCTGCTGGGTGCCTTGCTGAAGGCAGGTGGTCAGTAAACTGACTTGGAGAGACCAAGCTTCTTCATATTGTCACATCTCTTTAGAACCTCTGCTGAGGCCTTTGGAAGACCATTTTTAAGTAGTACCTTTGTTTAAAAGTAGGATTTTATGGTGGAGACAAACCCAATATCCTTTCCTTTGGGATATGTTGCTTTGGAACATTATCAAACTCATCAGTAGAATGCTTTTAACAGTCACTTGAGTTCCTTATTTATAATAGCTCAGGATGAAGTAAGTGCTTCTAAAGTGCAAGTTTTAGGTCGTCTGGGGCTCCATCTGTCAATTTAGCAGACATTTGTTGAGTTCCTGCTACATGCAAGGACTACACCATGAGATTGTGATAGGGGCAAAAGTGATGGTAACCAATATAGGCAGGAAAAAGCCTTCCTTTAATGAAATCACTTGTGAAAATGTTCAATAAATTCCGTGTGGTTGCATAGATGTCAATCTGTTAATTTATTGATATCAAAGTAACATTTCTAAAAATTGTCCTAAGTAATACCATGTCGCTAATGATAACCTGCTGGTTGTAAAGAGAACAAATGGTAACATTTGATGTGGGCAATGAGTGAGCCCAGCCTCCTACTAGTTAGTAGTAACCCCTTCATCACACGTGGCACTTTAAGGTATCAGAATACTTTACTGTGTTATCACTCCCATTATAGAATGAGGCTCTGGTTTGCACAAGAATATGTAACTGATGTTATCTATACTTACTGAGTGTTATCATGTGCTAGATGTGCTAATTGCTTCATGTGCTTTATTTTGTGTAATCAGGCCCTAAGGAGTAGGCATTCTTATCACCCTGTAAGAGGTGAGGAACTAGTTTAGAGAGGCTAAAACTTGTCCAAAGTCCTATGAAGTAAGGGAAGGTAAGGAATTAGAACCTAGATCTACCTGGGTCAAGCAGTTCTAACCATTCTTCTATTCTCAGTGTGGTATATAACGAGATCTAAAATTTATTGTCTCATTCCTAGTCCAATGCCCTTTCACTGTCCTCACCTGAGACACTGGAAGCAAATACACTGCTTTGTTGATTTTACATGCTCCCACACTTCGTTTTGTGAAGAAAGCCTCATAGGTTGTCCTTGCTGTGTCTTGCAAACACTGTTTGCATTCATGTCTATATTGTCTAGTTTCACTTCTCACAGCTTCCTTTCTCTGAAGGTTTAATTGTATGCTGTATTTTCTGGAAGCCTTGCCTAAGGAATTTAATCAACTCTAGCTATCTTTGGGTCTAGCCAAGAGAAGCAACTACATCCCCCTTCTGAAAGGCCTTGTCTGGTCATGCCGCAGAACTGGAATTATACTCTTAAGTCATACACATCTTTGCTCACAGGTCATTGCAGTCCATAGTGTTAGGCTAATCAACCATTTATTTTCCTCCTGAGGTCTTCAGTTTATAGAATAAGGACATTTGTCCTTACTGAGGATGATAAAATTTATTTTACATTTTAATCTACATTTACTAAATTATTCTAGTTTCTTTTTTTTAAAAACTGTAATGTTTAATCCTTATAACAAAACTAGGGTGTTGACAGGGTAATTATTTTGACTTGGACTGTAAGAAGACTGAATTTCAGAGGTGTTAAAATTGCCCAGATTTGCTAAATTCAGATGGTTCTCAGTCACCTCCTCAAAATGAAAATTTAGATTGAGTTCATTTTCTTCTGAGGTTAGACCTAGGAAAGTTATCCACATGGTGCCTCCTTTCCTTATGAAATCTTAATGATCTCTCTCTTTTTTTTTTTTAAATAAGATTTTATTTATTCAAGAGAGACAGAGACATAGGCAGAGGGAGGAAGCAGGCTTCCTGCAGGGAGCCTGATGTAGGACTCGATCCCAAGACTACAGAATCACACTCTGAGCCAAAGAGAGACACTCAACTGCTGAGCCACCCAGGCATCCCAAATCTTAATGATTTTTGAAGAAGGATAATCCTGAAGAACTTTCATATTTTCTAATGTAAGTAGGAAATGAGGTAAATATGACACATCTCAGCCATCCGTAGGAACCTTCAAGAGAAACTCTTTATTCTCTTATACTTGGAAGTGTTTTCTCCCTATAATTTGGTTTAATCTTATGTTTATTAAAAAACTAAAAAGAGATTTGAGCCAATGAGCTATTAGGCATAAATGGATTACAAATCTCTTGATAATAAAGCAGTTTCCAGTCTCTTGACCCTAGATTTCAGAAGCAGAAAGAAATGGAGAACTGATGTTTTTGGTATTAGAAATGTACCAAGTTCTGTTACTCTTGTTACTTACCTAGAACTTTTGAGTTTACCACCTTTATTTCATGAAGCTGAAGCATGTTTGTGAATAGTATTTGTTACTGTAGGCCATTCTGAATGGGACAGAAAGCCTATTGTTCATTTCTAGGTTCCTTCCCAGCATTTGCACTCCGTTTCACACTGTTGGTTACGAGGAAACATTTGCCTAAACTTGGCTTTGGAGAATGTGAGTTGGGACTTAGTCTGGCAGTTTGCAGACAGTTGGTGCCATTAGTAACTGTAAGAAAATACAGCTGCTTTCTAAAGAGGTGTGGCTGTCAAGTAGGTTATACAACAAAATCAGATTGTTTTAGGGCTCTCAGGTTTATTTTGTTAAGAAAAGCTAACCTGTATACTAAATTTTCCAAAGATTAGGATTGGCTAGAAATAATACAACTTTAAGATGAGAAAGAATTTTAGGGATCATCTAGTATACTGTTGCTGTTTTAGAAATGAAAAAACAAGCCTAGACAGGTTGTGTGATATATCCATCCACTTAACTGGTGGCCAAGCCAACACTAAAAACCAAGTCTCCTTAATCCCAATCAGTACAGAGTTATTCAAGGACTCCCACATTTCTGTTTTTTGTGCAATGCTGTTCCTTTATCAGCCTCTCCTTGGATCTCATTGACAACCTAACAGAGCAAAAGGGCAACTGTCATGTTTAGCTAAGTGTTACCCATTGGAATAGGTGTTTGCATTGAACAACTCCAGGGCAGTTGTTTGCTCTGATTCTTTTGGTGCCTTTGGGTTTGTTGAGACTACCAAGGGTGAGGTGGGTATTGTGCCTTAATCTGCATCTCCCACCCATAGCATTTAAAAAATTATTTTATTGTGAAACAAGTTTCAGGCTCATAGAAGAGTTGTAAAGTTGTAAGAATAGTACAAAGAATATATATATATATATATATATATGTGTGTGTATATATATGTATACATATAACAATTTTGAATTGAGATTATTTTATCTGCAAATTTGAACTCATTTAATGTGATAATCCCAGTGTGACTTGAAGAGTACACATGTACACAGGTGCCTGGCTGGCTCAGTCACTGGGGAGCATGTGACTCTTGATTTCAGGGTTTTGATTGAGTTTGAGCTCCACTTGAGTATAGAGATTACTTAAAAATAAAATCTTAAAAAAATACACGTGGACAATAAATGCATTATAAGAGGAAACATTAACACCATATTTTTAGAGGATGTCCAATAAATAATCTATTTTGACTTTGACATTTTGCCTCAGAAGTTGTTTATTAATACACTGTATGACTACAATACATGAGGCAGTGAAGAAGATAAAATGGGGAGAAGCACACAGGGTGTCTAGGAGCATATAACGTAGTCATTATGCACTGTATTCAGTGTATTTTCCCATGAAAGCCAAAACACACCAAAATGACGTGTGTAAAAACCACAGGAAAAAAAGATAAAGGAACAATGCAGCATCAACTTTATTAAATAGGGGAAAATATTACAGGCTACAATTTTATTATTTGTGGGAATCAAGTTTTCTGTTTTTTGGCTTTTTTTATTTTTTTATTTTTTTTTTACCATTGTAAAAGTAATATACCTCATGTAGATTATGGGTATCTACAAGTATATGAGAAGCACTAAAAATTGGCTTGGATAAAAACTATCAAAATTCAACAATAAAAAGTAATAAGTGGATAAAAGCCTCAAAGAGGATAGCAAACAAGCTCATGAAAAGGTAATCAAATTGCTAGTCACTGGGGAAATACTAAACCCTTAGTGGGTTACCACAATGTAATTTATTAGAATAGCTAAAACTTTTTTAAAAAACAAAAAAAACCTAATAGTACTAAGTGTAGGCAGGGATATGGAACAACTGGAACACTTTTGAATTGCTGGTGAGAATGCAAAGTGGTAATAGCCACCCTAGGAAAACAGATTAGCAAATTTAGCAATGTCTGATGAAGCTAAACATACACTTAACATATGACCCAACAAACTCACCCCTAGGTGATTCTCAGGAAAAATGAAAATGTGTTTACACACAACACAAATCTGTATATAGATGTTTATAGCAGTTTATTCATGATTGCTAAAAACCGGAAACAACTCAAATGTCCTTCAGTTGGTGAGTGGATAGTGGAATACCATTTAGCAACAAAAAGGAATAAGCTGTTGGAAACATACAACAACATGGATTAATCTCAAACTGATAATGCTAAGTGAAAAGCCAGACTGTGTACTGTATGATTCCATTATATGACATTCTGGAAAACACAAAACTATGGACAGAGGGATAGATCAGTGGTTGCCAAGGCTTAAGCCTGGAGGTAGGGTTTGGTCACAGCATCTTTGGGGGATATTCTGTATCTTAATTGTGGTGATGGTTATATGACTTGTCTATACTCAGATCTATACACTAAAATGTGAGTTCTATATGTAAATTTAAAATAAGCTTGGAGAAGAAATAGCCTGGATAGATATACATGCAACTTGTAATAGTTGTCCCTGGGAAGGAGGGAAAGGGGACCAGAGAGGAATTAAAGGGGATTTTAGCCTCACCATATGTTTTCTTTAGGAAAAAAAAAAAAAGTAAATATGACAGCATACTATTAAATTTATAGGGTAAGATTATCAGTGTTTGCTTTCTTATACTTATTTGTATTTTTAATTGGCCAAAACATAAACCAAGCAAAGTATATCCTCCTAAAGGAAAATTCAGAGAAGACATTAAAGTAGAAGGGGGAAGAAGTCACTAGTTGTATTAAAACATTTGGGTGTATTTCCTCTGTTCCATCTCGTCATGTTTGTTTTTGCATAGTGGAAAGTGTAATATAATGTAAGAACAATACAGCCTGTAGTTTTAGTTTTACTTGGTATATCCTAAATATGTTTTCCTTCCTCTTAAATGATCTTCATAAATATTATTTGCAGTAATGTAATGTCAATCTTAAGGCCTGCAACTGCTCTCATTTTACCGTTGTAGGTATTTCTGTAATATTAAACTGGTGTTTCACTTCACTAACGCGGAAGCACGTATGAGGGTATGTTTGCACGAATCCTGTAAATTACGACGTCTCTGAGCCATTGTAATTTAATAGGAAGTCCTATCTTTCCTTGGAGTTTTCCTCCACAAATGTTTCCATGTACTTGATGTTCAGTACAGCTGGAGGTCCACATCCCTGCTGGTCACTA